TTTAATCAAAATGTAAAATTAACTAAGTACACCCTATTTAACTACCAAAAATAGCCTTGGTATAACACCCTAATACCAATCATAAACCATGTTTCTCTTTTTACATGAATTTGTGCCCTCTTTTCAGATTTTGGGTTTCATCAAAATCTTTAATTTTGTAATACCAATCCTAAATCAGTACTCGCTGCGTTATTCGTGAGCACCAAGCAATACGAAGACTTTTCTACGTCTGATAAGGGTTAAATATAGTGATTAAGGTGTACTTATTAAAATTTTATTTGTTTCACAATTCAATATATCATTTTTGGTCATTTTATATTAGGGTAAATTAGTAATTCAATAAAGAATAATGCTACGCTTACCACATTTGTATACCACATCTCTATACCATCTTATGTGGCAGCTGAGTTGAACAGCTACATCAATTAAAATTATTTAATATTTTATTTTATTTTATGATTTATTCCAGTATTTGTTTTTCTAATTGTCTTAATTAAAATACACTTCATTGATTTAATTGATGTGACATATAATATGCATGAGTAATGCTAGGCTTACCACATTTTTCATACCACAATTGTACCACCTCTCTAATAGATGTGGAGCCCACCAATACAATGGGGCCCACCTCTATTAGAGAAGTGGTATAATTGTGGTATGAAAAATGTGGTAACCCTAGCATTTTTGAATATGCATATGCCACATCATGTGGTATAGAAATGTGAGATAAAAAATGTGATAAGTGTAGCATTACTCTTCAATAATAGTTTGGTAGTAAGGTGCACTTAGTTAATTATAAGGCTTGTTTAGCAGCACTCTATTATTATGAATTTTAGAAGTTAAATCATAAAAATAATAATAATAAATTGAAGAAAATGACATGCGATAGCATATGAAAGGCACGCCGTCAGGTTTATGACGTTTGGCCTCATAAGATAGGGACATGTTCATTTATATTTTTTTATCTTACAAAATTTAGAAAATAAATAAATAAAATCAGGAAAAAAAAACATTGAATGGGAAAATATTTGCATTTGATTATGTTTAGTTGAAAGTATTTTTATGGAACTCAAAAACTGAAAACAAGACAGACATATTTGTGTTATACTTATCTCCTATTTCTTTCGGTGAATATCTAATACTTATCTATTGTAAACCATACTTATCTAATGTAAACAGAAAATCCTTGGTGCCCAAGCAGGTGGCGAATATATAACCACCCTTCTATTCCTCACTCAAGATCAAGAGAGAGTGTTGAATTTGAATTAGAGGAATATTAGCGATGAAGAAATCAACGTCAGTGCAAGTATGTTTCACTTTCATCAGGGTTCTGAAAGTCTTGTCTCCTCCTACTCCACCTCCGCTTCCACTGCTCGCAAGAAGATTCATGGCTTCCAACTCCAAGGGTGACAATGACATGGCCAAGAACATCTCCTCCATCTCCCCTATTTCCTACGGTGATCCCTGCCATGATCTATTCTTCCACGTGAAATCACCAGACAACGTCGTAGGACTGTGTCTCCTACCACCAGAGCCCAGTGATGAAGAGCGGGAGCAGCAGAACAAGGCCACCATAAACTATCTGAAGCAACTGCTGCCGGTGGCCTGGTCCCACAATTCCCTAACCACCCTCAAGCTCATCTTCAATCTCAACTCTCTCAAGAGTCCTGGCGAAAAATATTTTCCGGCAGCCTTCTACGCGGCCGCAATCTGGCTCCACCACAACCACCCCAAGACGCTATTATGCAACATCCCCTCCTTTGCCGGCTCCGGCTCCTTCTACCTCTCGATAGCTCGTTTGTGGGACCTTGTCGAGATTCTCTACGGCCTTCTTCTAGAACAAGGAGAAGAAGACTCTGCGGCGCAGAGGCTCCACCGTGACGCGCACTATAAGTTGTTGCACGACCGGGTTATGGAGGTCTTGGCGGAGCAGTTGAAGTCTGATATTGACAAATTGAAGCAGCACAGGCTGGGGATGGAATTGGAATCTGAAGATAATGATAAAGAAGATGGTACTACTCTGCTTCTCGTTAGCCAGGCTGCAGAATGTTGCACTCCCAGCAGCCCTGAACAAGTCCAGGCTACCCGCACCGTTTTGTTGTTTGAAAGCCTTGGGAGGAGGCTTTTCCCGCCAGAATCAGATCAATCAGAAGAATGGGAATGGCTTAGGAAGGAGTTTTTGGAGCCCTTGACCGAGTATAGTCGTCAACGCATGCGTCTTTATATCAATGATATGCCCTGTGTGATCAAGAAGTATTTGGAGGAGGTGAAAGCAGGCGGCAGCATCATAAAGTCGGATGCATTGCTTCCAAATGATATCATAAGTTATGTAAAAGATAAGGATGTTGGGGAAGCAGCTGAGATTCAGTGGAAGGCAATGGTGGAGAACATATACCAGGGGGAGGAGAACAAATTTAAGAACTGCTTGGCAGTTTGTAACATCACCTACGCCATGAGCGCAGCACCAACCACAGAATTGGCGGCAAGTTTGGGAATTTTGGTGTCTGAATTGAGTGAAGAGCTGGCATGGAAAGGAAAGGTGATCACTCTGGGTCCATTGCCTGATAAGCTGCCGCTGCTGCATTCGATACAAGGCAATGATCTCAAGTCCAGGTACGACTTTGTGGTCAGGACATGCAGCAACAGCGAGAGCCAGGGTGTTGATTTTGATCAGGTGTGTGATTTGATTCTGGAAGTGGCTGTGAATAATAACTTGAAGGCGGAGCAGATGATCAAGAAGGTGTTTGTGTTCACCGACTCCGTAAGATTTGGTGGCTGCAGCACATCCTGGAAGACTCTGTATGAGGCAAAACGCAGCAAGTTTAAGGAGCAAGGTTACGGGGATGATGCGATGCCACACATTTTGTTTTGGAATATTTGGGACATAGCGGGGTTTATGCATCGTGTAGAAGAACCTCATCCAGGAGTGACCCTCTTGAGAGGAAACTCGAAGACATTGATCAAGTCCTTCTTGGATAACGGTGGGGAAATTGGCCGGCATCAGATCCTGGAAGCAGCCATTGCCAACAAAGAGTATCAAACTCTCTCTGTGATCGACTGAACGTAAACTGAGATTGATTGAGATCAAGATCAAGATCACATCCATTTTGGAGGAATAGGACTTGGTGATGTGATAGTTTTAGTAATCTTTTAATGTTATTTGCTTTATGCCTGTCTGTCTTACCCTAGCCTATGCTTAGCTACTAGATTTGGATTCTGTTTAACAAAATGGTTATCTGGCAACAGAGGCACTGTTTTTTTCAATAAAAATTTAAAATTAGACCTACTGTAATTCTGTACCAGTTTTGTGTTGGCGCATAGTTTCACTTGAATTGGTCGTCTTGTCTTACAATTTACAAAAGATATTTTTTGCACTGCATAATATATTCTCCCCCCTGCCATGTTTTTTGTACAAAAGATGCAGCTTTTCAGTCATAAAAAGCTACAGTCCTGAGTTGATTGTACACTCAAATTTAGAAGAATCATACAGTGTTAGGTGATTTATTTTTCAAAACAATTCCTTATGTTTATTTTTCAGAAGACCCATTTCTCTTCTGGTTAGTTTTTTGTTTGTGCAGTTATATTACGTGAGGAGCTGTCTTAGGCTAGTTTATAGTGCTTGGTTATGACATATACTAAACATCTTCATCATTTTGATATCTTGTATGATGCACGACTATATGGTATTGTGCTTATAATCTTACCAAATCCCATCCAAAACATTTGTGCAATTACTAACTCATGCAAATAGGTAAACTGCTTAATCTGTACTTAATCATAAGACTTGAAGTTGTCATAACCATAAGACTTCACTTGTGTAGAGACAAGTGTAAGGCATTTTGCATTTTAGACATCATATTTTACATATTTGTCGACTTATAATATGGAAAAGACATTGAATTTCATTTCATTTGTTGTTGCCTTTGCACAGTCCCAAATAAATAAAAAGTATTCCTAATTCATTTGTTGTTACCCTAATATAAGTTAATGTGCTTGTTTGAATAATTGATCACCATTAAAACTTGTATATTAGTTATCTTGGTTGGAATAAGAGTAGACACCACATGCCTTAATTCGAATTGAACTATAAATAGGAAGAGTATGTATAGACATTCGACAACAGGAATTAGATACATGGTTGGTTGTTTACAACATTCTTCTATACTTAATGGATTTATAATGCTTAATTTTGGTTTGACAAGAAGGATCTAATTAGGGAATTAGGAATACACGATTAGGACTAGACACCATGGCTTAATCATACTTTAGCTAGAATCAATCTGTGAATCTGAATTGAACTTGTTAACTAATTTGCTTGAGTTAGTTATTTTTGTCTTTTATTTACATGTTTACTTTCATTGTTTAAGTTTAGTTTTTGTTTTCCTTACCTAATAAAAACATCCAATTTCTATTTTGTACAGGGAGTCGAATTGAATCCATCTATCATCAATCCTCGCGGGATCAACCTCACACTTACATATGCTATATTACCAAACGGCTCGTGAACTTGCGAGTATCACAAATTGAGGATGTAGCTGAATCAATTTTGGCGCAACTGGATTAACACAACAAGGCTAAATTTTATTTTTTTTAGGAGATATATTGTAAGCCTTTTTTCTTTTGAAACAAAAATGTAAATAAAATATTATAAATCAAACAAGGCCACATTACGAGCAAATATAACACAAAGAAGTACAAAATATAAATAAATATAAAATCAAACACATTGTTCAACTACTTGAAATCCGAATTGTGTAAGTTTCTTAGGAATTAGAGTATCAACACAAGATGCAGAAGGTGTATCCTTGTTATCGTTACCACTTTTTTTGAAGAATAAATAAATAGTTTTTCCTCTCTTTCCTGGTTTATTATCATCATGTGACATGATATCCTAACAAGAAATACTAGACACCAAACATCATATAATGGACCCTGACTCGGTCCACCAAAGCTTGATGCATCCCTACGACGCCTACCAGCACTCATACTATACTTCCTCTCTACCTATCAGCTGCTTGGGCCAGTGCCCTCATAGTGGGATAAGTGTTGGCAGTGACCACTACCTGAATATCCAACCAAAGACCCTCTTCAAAACGTCTACACTTTTCTTCCTCAGTATATATCAGTTCAAGTGCAAATCTGGACAGTTCGTTAAATTTGTGCTCATACTCGAGCACTGAGATTGGTCCCTGCTTCAGATGCAGGAACTCGAACTTCTTTGCATTTCGGTAAGAATGCGGGTAAAATTGCTCATAGAAGATGCGCTGGAATTCCTCCCAAGTAATGACAGCAGGACTAGCATAACCTCTCCTGACAGTCTTCCACCAATGATAGGCGTTCCCCTTCAAAAGAAAGGTGGCCAATTGAACCCTATCTCCATTCAGGCACTGTAAGACCTCAAATACTCATTCGATTTATGTGAGCCAAGTCTCTGCTTCAGCAGAGTCTGAACTACCAAAGAACTCCTTTGCTCCCAACTCTTTGACTCTTTTTATGGCGGAGCCCTCAGTATTACATTTCCCTTGTAGGGTTGTAGACACAGTTCGGGTGAACTGAGCGAGTATATTCCCTCAATCGAGCTCATTCTCTCCAGCTTGCTCTCCGACAAGTGGAGATGGTGAAGGTGGAGGTGGTGATAGGGTTGGAGATGGTGGTGGAGATGGAGGCAGTGGATTTGCCCCCCGTCTCGAAACACGACCTCTCGTCCTAGCACGTCGAGGAGGCATGATTCTATACGAAGGAAACAATAGAACCTCTGATACCAAGCTGATAGGACCCGCCCCGAATTCCCTCGGAATCTGGGACGAATCCCTTCGTATTTCCAACATCTTACCAATGTCGAGCCCACTTAATTTATAATCAAATATATTGATACACAATTTTTGTTTAATATATTTATACAATACTCACTCATTAGTTAAACAATGGTCTTTATTATACTGCTACTTAGGTACAATCTTGTTTGATTGTCCATGATAATAAAACTTTGTGATAAATAAAAAAAATCAAATAGAAACTAGAATCTTTATATTTATATGAATTCATCACGTTTGTTAATTGTATATTAATAAACGATTGTAGACTGGACTCCAACAGATACGCTACGTTAATTAGCTAAAGTAGAATGCCAAAAGCCTTCCTTGACGTTGTGAGCTTGTGAAAAGCCAATCTTCAGGGAAACAGCAGTTATATTAGGGAGGACGGACACTGAAGCAAGTAGTATGAACGTGTAATGTTCACATTTCAACATTTTAAATAAGTTTGGTCCCGAAACGCTAAAAGAGGTACCAAGTTTGAATCTCCTCCATCCCATAAATAAATAAATAAATAAAGAGTTTGATGCTGAAGAATGTAAGTCATCTTCAGCTACAAAATCTTTTTTTTGTTTTGTTTTTATGTTCAAGGACTGATGAAAAAAGTCATTTTCCAGCTCTCGCAAAGTTATTACTCATACAGTACCAGGAGTTCAAAAAATGGTTTTAGTACAGATTTAATTCACATTTAATTTACAGCAAAAACAGATGGAAGTGGTGAAACTGACGTGTGCAAAGCTTAAATTGTCAATGGAGTTTAGTGTACATTGCGATTGATTAAGCCTTCGAATATAGCATATAGATCCTTGTTATCTGGGCCAAATATCTCATCAGCCTTCTGCAGAGTCTCCTGAAATTTTGCAAGTTTACAGATAACATGTAAATAGCAAACCAAATCATCGACACCGAGGGAGAGAGGGAGGGAGGAGGGAAGGGAACACAAACCTCCTTTGTTTGCTTGTGGCCATTTAGCTCCTTAACATTAGCCAGAAATGCACCAAACTGCTCGTAAGACAAACGACTCCTGAGGGCAACAAAGAGAAAAAGAAAAAAAAAAATCGGACAGTGGGAATTTTAGTCCTTAAGATTTGCTAGAACTCACCAAATTTCTCATAAGACAAATGATTTCTGATGCCAATAAGAGGGAAAACAAAATAACCAGACAACAAACTTTCTTATTCAACTAGCCGGGAAATTCATTTTTAACTTGGATGCAGGCAATAATCGGATTTTCTATATATGGTTGTTTCCATCAGACCCAGATTCCAAACTCAATAAGTGTCTTCACCTGACTTGGCGGAAAAATTCTTTCCCGTCCACCCGAGTTCTTCCTAAAACATTTCAAGAGAGAATTAAGAACATTAGAAGAATACACATCGAATAACAGAAGAGCAGTTCTCAATAACGGCGGTTTCTACTTTCTAAGTGAAATGTGACTAAACATTTTCTACAAAGGGTTTCTCGAGCTAACCATATTCAGAGCTGTGATGGCTTGAAGGCATAGAAGATCTGTCATCAAACATGCCTCTTGAGGTGGCGAATGACATGGAGTGCCGCTTAGGGGACACAGGTTTCGATGTTCTTGTTGGGGATGTGGATGCAGAATAGACTGGAGGAGAACCAGGAGGAGTGAGCCGAGGTGTGCTAGTTTGGGATGCTAACAGGAGGCCCGGTGATATGCGAGGTCTTTCAGCTGCCATTGCAATGATAAGAAGCCACAAATACAACAATGTTAAAAATTGGCATGCCAAGTTGAAGGTTTAATAATGCATTCTCTAGCTTAACAATTCACACTTATGACTAAAGAAGCTTCCTCACTATATGGCATACATGGAAGCATTTTCTATGACTAAGATTTGTATTCGAATCATACCTTCTGTGTCACGATTCTCCGAAAATATGCTTCCTGTTTCAGAGTACCGGCTACGGATTGAAGATGCCCTCGAAGGTGGCAACGTGGCAAATGTGGCATCACCTTCTGAAACTACTATCACATTATGATTTTATTTTGCATTGGCATTTAAGTGAGAAACCAAAACATAGAGCATAAGCAGTTGGCCGAAAAGAAAAATCAAAACCATATGCTAAAGGCTAAGATAGTAAGATGAGGTCACATTCAACAAGTAACGAACAAAAAAGTTCTACTGCGCACATTACTTATAATGAGAAATGTTCGGCCTATTAGCCGTCTTGATTTATAGTCTAACAATATAACATGTCATGCCATAGTACAAAAATTAATTAATCTACTTATGAAAATTGAAAATTATAAAATAAAATTAGCTTAGCAAACCTCCAACTTCAGCTTGTGGTTTAGAAGATAAGTTCTCTTGGGTTTGTATCTTAGGCTTAGCAACAGCCTCCGAAGCTCCGGTCTGTTCCAATGTGTGCCACAAATTCAATCCAAGTTATCAAATTAATTAACAACAAAAGTGTAATCCAAGTCTCAGAGAATCAGCCTCGCAAAACAAAATTACTCACAGAATTTTCGTCCTCCTCTTCAAGTGATCGCATAAGCGTCTTTCTGAACACCTCCAACTGCGCACATTAGCAACCACACTAAGCTTAGCCAAAACGACACCGTTTTAGCTTCCCCAACGTGAATTTCAAAATTGAGTTACCTTCGAGACATCTCTGTTCAGCTTCCTCACAGTGTTGGAGAGCAAGGCCTTCTCTTTCACCAAGCCCTCCTGCAATTCCAGAACCAAGTCAATACGAATTGATTAAAATTGAACCGGGTTGAGATTCATGGGCCGGGTCGGACCTTCTCCTGGCCGGCGAGGGCGAGTTTTATCGGCGGTCTCGGAGAGCGAGGCGTCGAGGGACTCAACCTGCGCCTGGAGCTCGGCGATGAGCTGGTCCTTCTCGGCGAGCTTGGCGCGCAGAGCGTACGACTCTGATTCCAGGGCAGAGACACGTGTCGAGAGCGCAACGGAAGTGATTTTGCGGGCCACATCGAGCTGCTCGAAAGGATCCGACGGCAGTACTTGCAACACTTCCTCGGGGAGATCGAAGTTCGAACCACCCGATTCCTTCGCAAGCATTTCTCTCCTTTCTCTCTCTTGTTTTTCTTTTTTTTTTTTTTTCTTTCCCCCCCCTCCTCCCTTTTTTTTTTAATTTTTTTCAACCTTTTTTGTTTTTTATTCAGAGTTTGTTACACTCTACGGCATATAACCAAATTTTTTTTTTTTTTTTTTTTTTTTTTTTTTTTTTTTTTTTTTGGTATATTTTCTGATTGGAAGGAAACATGTTGGTTTGTGATTGGATAAAAAAAACAAAAACACATAGCAGAATCTGGACAAGGCCTAGTGGTTTTGGGCCTAATGGTACAAACCCATTTTTGAAACAAGTAATGGGCCTTTGTGAGGCAAAGCTAAGCGTCGTCGTTTTATGTGGTGGTGATAGAAGGGAAAGGGAACAGGTGGATGTGAATTGTGATTGATTACAGGCCAACCAAATTCAGATTATTCTTGTGGTCTGGTGCTATAAAAATTAGATAATGAAGATGGTGAAATTTGGCCATACTTTGTCGGCTTCCTCGTATTTGGTCAATTGCCTTGTATAAATGGGTTTAGAGGTCGGTGCCAAAAACTATATGTAATGTGATATGGGGAAGATGAAGTATTTTTAAAATATATTGTTAGATGTGTTGAGTTACTTGTATAAATGCTCTTGTTTGCAAGGTGATAATACGGTGACTCGCCATTAATCATAGAAGTGTTAATTGTGAATACATGTAACAAGAATATCCACGGAAGTGCCGAAATAGATACAACACACATTTCAACTATATAAGGAAAATTTAGGTGATCGGGACTAGGTAAAATCGAGACTGAGTACAATTCCACCCTTAAGAAAGGGTTTGTTATATCTAATATATTGAACAATTTTCCAATTTAATGAGTTTAACGTTGTTATATTCGTTAAACACAAGACATTATAGTTAGTTCAGTATAATTGATCATTTCATGTCTAGTATCAAACCGTCAAACAAGGTCAAAAGGACTGTGAATCCTTCAAAAGAAAAGAAAAACAAAGAAAACGGTTCGTGCTTTAACAGGAAGATAGAAAACAGACAATGGCCAGCCACTTTTGACTGGAACGCGTTCCTTCCTACCCACCTTGGTTGTGTTGAAATGTTATAAAATTCAAAGTCATGAAGCGAGTCACAGGTCACTGAAAGTGACCAGCGAAACAATAAATTAAGTTAACCCAAGGGAGGGGACATATATATATATATATATATATAATTGGCTGATCAATCAAGTTAGGTCAACTGTTCAACTCCCATGGTGGAAGGAAGCAACATGACCAAGACTCCAAAGCAGCAGTTCCATTTCTCAGGTGTGACCAAACGATCTTTGAATGAAAAGCAATGAATATGATTTTCATTTTCATTTTGGGAAGATGTTTCCACTACAATTTCCCAAATGGTATAACAAACGGTGTAAAATTATTTAAGAGCTTTGCTTTGAGCTGCGCAAATTAATTTATAATCCAATATGCTGTTACACAAATTTTGTTTAATACATTTATACAGTACTCACTCATCATTAAACTTCCCGAGCTTCAAAAGTGAGATGTAGTGTTATGCCATCTTGATGTACAATGTGCTCACTGGCCTGAAAGTACCATTAACATCCATAAAAGCTTTAGTTTTTTAAACGAGCACGGCCTAATTTGCAAAGCAATGCAGGTTCATACTTTAACGGGAATATGTTGAGTCTCCTCATTCAAAAGCATAAGTAATTTTAACAAGATTTACAAATCTTTATCAGATTAAATAACATGTATGTGTATAATACATCTTTATTAGAACCTATTCGAATGCATTCTAATGTTTCCAAAACATAAATACCCGTTATGTATGGCTAAAAATACAAACTACACAACTATTAATATGTAGAAAAGAAAATGTCACATAAGTGTCTAGTAAAAATCCATTTCATTTCCAGTAAATATATATTTAGTTTCCTCCAACATCTTATATAAGTAATTAATAGTGCGTGCTAAATATTTTCAGATGCTTAAAACTTCTTCATTTATGGTTCATTATCATTGTAAATCAGACATGTTCATTCCAAATTAAAGCTAAAAGAAATGAGATTTATGCTCATAACAAATCATGAAAAATAGCTGTTTATCTTATACATATTCAAATATTCCTATGTCATTTCTTTGGAATGAGCCCGGGACCCTTCTTTTGTTTGGTTACACAAGAATCTTGTGTACGGGCTCATACATAATTTCTCCATGATGTTCAAATATTTGTTTAATCTTTAACACCTAATACCTACTATGATTATGTGCAACAGATTTTCTAATTTGAAGGGTTAGGTGTTTTAATTTTTACTGGCTTCTATGTTCCTTGGTATTTTTCCTATTAATTGCTAACTCATGTTTCGTGGTGCCCTATGTAGATAAAACTGTCATTGACAACAAAATCTTGTGAGACTTCTCTCGACATTCAGAATGATGACTGTACAAAAGCTATATATATCGATGCTAGTCCATGTGGAAGTCAATTAGGTCCCGTTTGGTTTATGGGAAAGGAGACTTGGGGATGAAAAATCAATTGCTTTCCCATGTTGGGTAAATCTTGGCATGGAAAATCATTGCCTTGCACATGGGAAAGTAGAAGGAAAGTGAAGCCCTCCTCCCCCCTTGGGTTTTGTTTTCCTCATCATAGGAAAGTTTGGGAAAATGAGCCAACATTAAATACCCATTTTTCATGACCATATTGTCCCCATTAACAATTTAGAATTACAATATAGCATTAAATGCAATTTTTTTTTTCCATATAGGTATAATTGGAAAATTAAACAAATTTTGTTTTACATTCTTACACAAACCAAACATGTGAAAGGAAATAAAGTGTTATTTCTTGATTACTTTTCTATAATTACTAAACATGGTAAAGGAATCTTAATTTCCCTTCCCTTGGAAAATGACAAGGGAAGTGATTTCCCCTCAAATTTGTTCCGTGAACCAAACGGAGCCTACAAATAATGATTTAGCATATATCTTCCATGGTGATCATTGATCATGAATGTAAAATACTATGCATTTATCAGTATTTCATTAACCATTCAAATAATTTAACCGGTTAGAATATGGCACGTTAAATCTATTTAAAATTGTTTTGTCTATATAAAGCAATATTGGAGACGGGAGAGATTTGAATACTGAACCTCGTGTGTATATAGGTAATTGTTCTTAACCAATTAAGTTACAAATCCCTTACATAAAGAAACTTTAATTTGCACTCCTATGGAGGAAGCAACATGACCAAGACACATCCAAAGCAGTTCCATTTCTCGGGTATGACCAAACCATCTCTAAACTGAATGAAAGCGATGAACACATGAACGTGTAAAATCTTCCATGATTCTTCAGGTAACCTTTAGCTTTATGAAACAAAACAAAAAACTTTAGTTGTAGTTTATGTATGATTTTCATTTTGCGAAATTACTAAAATGAAAACAATATAGTTTATTTCAATAACAAACAGTCTAAAATAATAATTTTATTTGAAAGAATTTATATAATTAAAAAAGAAAAAGAAAAAAAGAGTGTACATATTGGAGACATTGGACATGATAGCATGATTGCTCCCTTGCACTTCTTTATGAAAAGAATATTTAAATTTTGACCCCACAATTAAAAAAGCTTCCCTTCTTTTTCTTTTTCTTCTTCTTTTCTTTTAGTGGATAATTATTATACCAGAAAAATCAATTGCACAAACACAGCAATTGGCAGGGGAAAAAGAAAAAGGTACAAAAAACAAACAGTAATTAAAGTCATGGATGAAAGCTTGATGGGATGGTAAAGTTTTTGAGATATTATTGCAGGTAGGCGGAGAGATAATGGTGTATTTTGTTGGCAGGCACTGAAACTAAGAATCATTCAAATCTAACCTCAAGATTTCCTAATTATTCTTTATTATCTTAACACAGAGTTTTTTAGTAATTAAACACAAGCTGATTACATGTCTCAGTTGGAGTAGCAGGACAGAGATGTGGTAGAATCCTTCACTGAATCAATACATAATAATATCATAAAATAAAAATATATATATTTTATTATTTTTATTATAAAGAAAACAAAATCTGATGCAGATTCTTTAATGATTTATCACTTTAAAAAAGAAAGAATGCCTTTATATTAAGGTGCTGATTAAAATAGATAAATGCCATGTTAGTGGGGTTTAAAATAATCATGGAGGTGGCAAAGGGAATTGTTGTTTACAATGTTCTAGAAAAAATAAATAATAAAAAAACAATAATTATCATAATACCATGAACAATGCCATGTGGAGCGTTCTAATTATTATTCAGTACAGAGTACAAACTCTGAGTTTAGAGCATTTGCTTTGCAAAATTCCTTAATTTATTATTGTATTTGTGGTGGGGGGGGGACAATTTTGATTCTTTATCAGTCTCTCAACTACCAAATTGTGAGGAGTTGTTTGTTTATGAAATATAATTTAATTAATTTCTCCATGACACAATTGGAACTAAAATAACTCTACAAAATGTAGCAAAAACCAATGTTGTTTTCGTCAAGGATTATGCACTATATAAGTATACCACATTTATTGATCATCTCTATAATATGGGTGAGTCCTGTATATATTGGTGGGGTGCATCTATATTAGAGAGGTGGTTAGTTAATATAGTACAAATAGCATTATTGATAAGTTTATTGAGATAATTTAATACACTTTCAATCAACCTCGTGATTTACACCTTAATTGCTTAGTGAGAGAATATTGTTAGCATTCCCATTTAATATATTCTCACAAGTTAATTTATGACATAAGGAGCATGGTTGGGAAATTAAGAGGCTGGTTAAAGTAATTAAGGTGTAAATCACGAGGTTGATGAAAAGGGATTATATAAGGGAACAAAATATGTATAGCTTTCTATGCTTAAGACAAAATTAGAAGGAACAAATCTCAAGAGATTAAAGGTCATATTTCACATCTTAATCATATATAGTTAATATTCTAACAATGTTGTAATACTACATGAGGTGATATTGATATATTTTTTATTCATTCAGGAGACAAGAAAACAATAACTGAACTCTAACTATAACTGTTAAAAGTAAGTGCTCGAATAAAATATTTGGTAATAGTACAATTTTGATTAATAGTTGAGAGCAAAAATATTACATGTGGCATCCTTAGTGCAACATTATTTATTTAAACTATGTTTTTCCTTTCATAGTTTTATTTATTTATATATATTATAAATAGTTTACTTTTATTATGTCACCATTCTTCCTATTCATGTTTATCATTAATTTGTTGAGTTATTGTTCTGCGTTTCTCTATAATCTTTGCTTATTTTGTAAGGTTATTCAACTTGGATGCTTCGCTTAGTCATTGTCATCTTAGTTGAACCAAAATTTGGGATCAACAACGATGTTATAACTTATATGTTCATATAAAACAATAGGTGTTTTTAAAACCACATTCCTTCTTCTTTTCCTTTCCATAATACACCCTTGAATTATATTAAAAAAATCAAAATTTTCTCTCAACAACTTTTTATGGTTGCCAAAGTTAGAAATGGAGGGGGGTTTCTTCACACACACGAAGCAAAAAAGCTATAAGAATTCGAACATAAAATCATTGGTCTACAAGTCAATGTCATTTTTCATTAGGCTAAATTTCGTATAATTTTGGTCAACAAAAACAAACATGCCTCTTCAATCTTCAATTTTCATTACACCTTCCTTCCTAGCTCCTGCGTGTAAAACAAGAAAGAAATGATAATCAAACTCTTTGAATGATTACACCTTTAAAAAAAAATAATCATTCAACTAACCCAAACCCAAATAAAATACGTAATTAATCACAAGACCTAAACAACTTTATCAACAAAACTAGTCTCTCTGCACGTGCCTCTGTGCATGCGATAGACTTTTTTTTTATATAAAAATTTAAAATTTATTTTATAATTAAAAAAGATAATGGATAGTTGTGTTCTATAAAAATAAGATCCATTATATGATTTTTAATTTTTTAATTTTATCTTAATATGAAGAAGTGTGAATTTATCATATTATCCTAATTTAATTAATAATTTCAATTTTTAATGTTTGCATTAACTAAGGATATTTTATAATATTTAAAATATTTCTTCATTTTCTACCTTTTGCTATATATATAGATTAACGAATAATAACAATAATAATGCCAACATGCCCAAGAGTCCAAAACAAGACATTTTTTAAATCAGACATTAACATTTCGCTTTTATGACACTCACAAGGCAACCAGAAAAAAAAATCTCGGTCCACACCATAACCGTGACGCCGTTACTGATAACGGAAACCAGACAAGGGAACCCAACGACTCTGTTAAAACAGACATCGATTGGGTCCCACTTCGGGGTGGGCCGAAAGACCTAGTCAGCTTTTCAGCCGAATGACTTTGAAAATGAAAACGTGGCGGCCTCACGCGTCGAGTAGCGAAGGTGGGTAGGACCTTTCGCTCGCTCGTTATCTTCGTCTTTGCTTGTATATAAACACCCCCCTCCATTTCTCACAACACCCACGAAACACAAGAAACGGATTTAGAGAGGGGAAATTTCCAACAGTGCGGAAAACACCAAAAAAACACAACCTCCTTCTTCTCCCCCCCATGTGAGGTAGAAGAAGAGGCCAAAAAAGAAAAAAAAACCAAAAAAAACTAGCGTTTTTCTCTTTCGTTTTTTCAATTTTAGGGGATTTTGATTTTTTTGATTTTTAGTTATTATGGGGACTGAGATATTGAGGCCTCAGGATTGTCTGATCGAACGGATCAGAGTCCCTCCGGCGTCGTTTGTGCGCCGGAAGAGTTACTATGGCAACCCCGTACCTAACCAGAATTACGTTTCTAACCCTAGACCTAGAAAACAGGTGGTGCGCTCCGACCCGAGGAGGATCCACGTGCAGCCGGCGGTGGTCTCCAAGAGATCCAGCTCTGAAGACCTTCGGGGCTTCAAGATGGAGAAAGTCACGATCTTGAGGCGCGGCGAGTCGCTGGATTCGAAGACGAAAGGAAATAACGGTGGATTGGTCGTGACCGGGACCGAGAGGTTGGGACCCGACCCAGATATGGTGCCGAAGCAGGTGCGGATCGTGGATCTGAAGCCTCCGGTGGAGGGAAAGACCGACATGTACGCCGGATCGGCGTTCGCGGTGTCGCCGGAGCCCAGTGAGCTCCCGTTGCCGTCGTTTTCGAAGAAGAAGCAGGTATCGAAGGTCGTCGACGGTGACTCGGCGACTCGAGACCTGCGGCGGTTGCTCCGGTTGGATTGAAAAGAGAAGATCCGGATCCGAGGGCCCGAAGAAGGCCCCGACTGGATCTGGATCCGAAAACGGTTCTGTCCTTTGTCGTCTCAATTTTCGAGGTAGGATCTGTCCGTGATTTTTTTAAACGGCGGTTGATCTTGAAATCTGGAAGAAGACGGGGGCGAATTAGTAATTTATCTAATGTTTGTCACTTGGTTGGTGTAGCTAATCTTATCAGCTTGTTATGGGAAATATTGTGGGGTTGTTAATGAAGAATTATGTGGTATATTGGTAAATTTAAAGTTAGGATGGGGTGGAAAAGGGGAGATGGAAGAAGAAAAAAAAGTGGGAAATGGGGGGTTTGATTTGTTATATTTGGGAATTGGGATGGTTTGGTGTTATTTAGTGAGTTTGATGTGATTTGTAGGTTGGGCGGTAAAATGTTGAATGTTTTTCTGCTCTGTTGGGAATTTGTTCAGTGGGTTTTATGTATAATGTATTGTAAAGAGAGATAAAATTTGGGCAGAAGAAGAATTCTTAATTTTATCTTTTCATTTTAAACTTGTGTTTTTTCTTTTTTTTTGGCCCTGCAACTACTTTGAGATACTCTCAAAACAGACCAGAAACCCGAAATCCCAAACATAAAGATCATATTTTAAAGAAGATGAGGGAGATCATTACAGCAAAGTCACCGATTCCATTGAGTAGGGACTCTTTTTCTTGGTTTTTTTTTATAGTCTAAATTAGTTTCTGTGAATTAATCTAATTTACGAAGAGAGAGATCCGAACTTGGGTCTTAGGGGACAGACTCGGACTCACTGCTCTGATTGTTCTGGTCGATTGGTCTAATCCACATCTGCTGTGCAATGGACTCTTGAATGAAATAGAAGGAAAAGAAGGAAACTTGGGGGCCATGAGAGCCACATCTTCCAAATATCAGAATCTGAAGTCAAAGTCCACATCCATTGCCCAGGCAAACTTTTCGAGGAGGGATTTGTTGAATATCTGTGCCAATAGAAAATGGTCAAGCATATAGCATGAACCAGCTCATACAAACCAAACCAATTAGCAAATCTTTTAACAAAACCGTACCTTCTCAAGTGGAACTTCATGTCGCTTGCACCATGCAACAGTGATTCTGGGGTCAAGATAGTTGGTCTTGGACGTTCCTAATGCCACTGTTTTCAGATCCTCTTTGGTTCTCATGTCCACTTCCATTTTTTCAATCTTTTCTGTCGTTTTAGCTATCTTCTTCTCCAACCTGTGTCAACCTAAAAATACCATGGAAGGCCATATCCAGACATGATGAAAACTAAGCAGACAAATGAAGTAAACTTACGCTTCCGGGGTCAAGTTTCTCTTTCGCTTCCCATCGGCATCTTCCAGCGGAGGCTTTCCCTTTCTGGCCCTGTCCAAATCTGTTTTCAGCTCTTTCAGGGTGCCCTACAACCCCGAAAAGAGAATGAGTTCCAGAGCAAGAAATAGGCATGCATTTCAAATACCACGAGTTTATAAACCTACTCAGATTAGGTGATTACCTGAAGGCCACCAATCTTCCCCATTAACTTAGACATCTGTGCACCATGAGACTTTGAGACAGTACGTTGATGATTACAAATGATGGCAACCTGCAACGAAAATCATAGATTGCACTTAGTCAAAAGGAGCATTACTATAAACTTAGTACAAATTCTCAAGGGATTGACTGCTATACCTCTTTGTTTGCGTGCTGATAAACAACAAGTTTCTCTGAAACATCTCCCTCTTTGGTTTCCTTGTTCAACTGCCGTCAGGCCAAGAAAAAATATAAGGAAAAAAAATCATCATAAAAGGAAATGGAAACAGGGAGAGGGGCAGGAGATTAACTTACTATGTTATCCAATGTGATCGATGCATTGTAGGTACGGAAAACTTTGGCTGTAAGGCCAGGCATCAGTTCTTTCAGATGGGCATTCAATTTACTGGTATCCAACTTGTCAAAAAGATCATCATTGCCACGCTTCCCTGAAGCAAATAGAAAAAAGAACAAAGTCGAACACATTCATAGGCTTCAATTACCCGAAAAAGAAGAAGGAAATAGGCTGAAATTATAATGCCACCAACTCACCAGCCTGGAACTGTATGATTGCTTTGTAAACAGGAACCTCAACTTCAACAGTATTTTCATATCTGATTGAATCTTTACCAAGGAAGTTGAACTGAGATTATAAACAACAGAGTTGACTGGTTATTTACTGGTGATAAATACATTGGCAGACTACCTGCAATGACTTGAAAAAATTTCTATAACAGCAGCAAGGCATTACCTCCAAGGAGTTAGGGGCAATTGCTTTTACATTCTCTACTTTTAAAGTGCAGCAACCAACAGTATCGGCTTCATCATCCTCCTGCAGTAGATCGATCAATAAAAAACAATCATAAACAGTCCTGTCCACTTCTTTGTGGACAAATGGTTTGAAACTTTGAATTTCATGTTTGCTCTACCTTCTCATTGCCGGCCCTGAGAGCAAGTTTATCGATGAGATAGGTAGCAACTGCTATCTGCCGCTTTGCGCCATCTTTACTTGTAAAATCCTTGGTGTATGCAGCCCTGATGTTTCCTATGTAGTCCTGCACTCAAAATAGCAGGGTTTTCATCAATATGATGGCAAGCATCTTCTATGTTATCCGAAAAAACTACTATCTTCAAAAGTTTAAGGGCATGTTCCCATCTAAAAACACCTTCAGCATCCTTGCTTTCTCATATTTCTCCTTGTCACTTTGCCCCTTCAAGGAACTACTAGGTGACAGAAATACGTATTTGAATAACTTTTGGTTGATTGGATCGTTCCAGAATGCTAACCATGTAACCATATTGTCATGCCTTACTTCTTTCCAGCTGCATCGATCAAATGCATTGATTTAAACTCCAAATCAGTTAATGAAAAGAAAAAACTATCATAACTTTGGAAGTAAATGAGTTCTGTTGTTTTAACAAAACCTTTCACCAGGGATGGGACATTCTGGAATCGGGGCAGCCTTTCCTATATTGATCGTAACATCGCTTGGACGAATCCGCCTTTTCAGCTTTCCCAACTGATACCATATATAACAAGAATTAACGGCAACATATGCACAGAAAACTGTGAATCAGTGTAAACACTTCAACAGATAGCCACCACCTATCAAACTATCTCATCATCGACAAAACTGAAATCTGTATCACAGAGAGAAAAAAAAAGTTATCAAACAACCTTTGGATGCTCCCCACGGCCTCGGAATAATCCAGGTGGTTCAACTCTGAAGTTTCCAACCTGTATTAAGATTGACACCAGAAATCACAAGGCAAACTACTCATTTAATGATAAAATGCAAAGAACAGAGCTAAGCTACTATCATTTAACAACATATTAATTGACATAGCATATCTACCATATTCACAATCATCAGAAAAGCACCATAAGATTGGTAGATATATTGCAGATGGGCTAATCAGATTGCAAACTAGGTTACAGGGGAAAAAGCAATCAAAAAGCTAGAGATAACCTTTTCTTTTACACCATCAACAATAGCCCACATATACTTCTCCTCTTGTTTCAGTTTCTCTTCCTGCAAGGCCTTCTTGTCCTGCATCAACACATACTCCTTAAAAATTTTGCAACAACAAGGAGGTATGAGGACAAACAATGAATTAGAGCTAGCTACCAACTTACTTCCTTACTCAGCTGTTTCTTTTTCTCCTTTTCATTCTGATACCAATCATATATTGGGGTAAAATCACAAGCATCCAATTTCTGAATTACATGCCTCTTCCCAAGCAACTTTTGCCAATCATTCCAGAAATTGTTTCTGAATGTTTTTTTCTGCACATATTCTGTGTCCTTCATCACGGCATACATCGTCGCAACCTGCACTTATAAACGTAAATCATCAAGAAATTAGAACATACAACAAAGCAAGTATATATAGATCGTTGAGAGAGTGAGACAGGGACCTCCTCTTGTTCAGGAGCCAAGTTGACTGGCTTCCCATTGTAGAGCATCTTTACACCATGAGGCTTGTATGGAGGTGGGAAGATGACACCATTGTGAACTAAAGTAGCCCATTTTTCCTGCCCATCATTAGAGCTTGGCGCCACGTTTGTTGATTTAGAATACTTCGAAAAATTCGAACCTTTTTTGTCCTTCTTGATCGTTTTCTTGATTGAAGATGAACCCACTTTTGTTACCTTTTTTGGCTTTGTCAATGCCACAGATGATTTATTATCTGACCTGACTTTCTTAGCTCGATCGGCAATTGTAATGAAGTCATCATCCTCCTCTTCCTTTGCTTCTTTTTTGGCTGACACCTGCTTGTTCTTTGCAGAAGTAGAAGAATCCGGAACTTTTGGCCTTTTAACTGAAGACTGCTCAGAGACATTGGCCTCATCTAGAGGCCTCTTACCAGAGACCGGAGAAGAAGTTTTCTTCTGAGGTTTCGGCTTCATTCGAAGCCTTGATGATAAGGGTTTGTCATCCTCTTCCGAATCAATAGAAGTCTTACTTTCTTCTTCAACAGTGGCAGGCTTAATCTGTTCTGATAGATGTTCTGACTGACCCTCTAATGAAGCTGATGCTTTTGAATTGGATACTGGTGAGGTGCTGGCAGATGAAGTTGAAGCTTCTGGGCTTGATAATGGAGATTTTACTGGTGATGATTTGGTTGATGGAACCATCAACACTTGAGTTTGGACCTTGTGTATTTACATGCATGCAATCCTTGTTGTCTTCTCTATAAGTTTTCTTTATATTATCAAAAATTCAATTTGATATATATATAGAAAGAGAGAGCTGCGTAGATAACGAGATCAGATAAATGTTGCAGGGAATGTAACCCTAAATTCCAAACACCATAATCGTAAAAGAATCAGAGAGGATATCATAAGCATATAATGGAATGCACAGAGATCAAACCCTAATGGGGCAAAAGCAAAAGAAAGAGTCCTAAGGAAAGGCGTACTTGTTCGTCAAGGAATAAATTGAACTTGCAGCTTCTGATCTCTAAAGTTCAGCACAAATATGAAAGTAGGGTGTGAATATTGAACAAGGATAAAAGACAGCATTAACAATTTATCAAATTAAAACCGTTACTTAGAACACACATACAACAACAGGAAACATAAATTAAATGTTCTCCTACTTTCTGATAAAAAGGAAAAAAAACATGGTTTCCTATTTTTAAGGGAGTCCCATGTTTACTTTTTAAAAATAATGAAAAAGAAAAAATGGTAAAGCAGAAACGGGGTTTTCAACTTGAGACTATTGGTCTGCAGTCAAGGACCTTTTTATTGGACTAGACCCGGTTGAAAAAAAAAGTTAAAACAATAATAGTAACTAACTGACAAAAATTAGAGCAAGTTAGGATCGGGCCATAGAGCCTAGGTAAAGGTTTTTAGGTTAGGTTGGGCTTATGTTTACAAACCGACTTGTAAAATACAAATTCTATTATTTCAAATTCATCTATGATATAAGTCAAAGAGTCACAAATGGTCCGTGCGATTTGAGGAAACTGTAACTTTAGGTATTGTGGTTTGAATTTTGTTGATTTTACTCATGTTGTTTACTTTACTGATTTAAGACAAATATTCCATTTCCGCCAATTTTTATAACTTGGGTGACTTGCAGTCCGTGCAACCAACTCCCGCATCATGCATCAACAGACCTAACATGTGAATTTTCAATGTGCAACCACGCATTAAGCTCATCACATGAATACGTCATATTAGAATCAGAGCATGCAAACCCCAAAATTAATTAACCATTAATAAAGAGGCTCAATATATTGTTATATATGTGAGGCTTAGAATTCCAGATATGAGATTCTCTGCTCTCAAAACAGAGGATACACATAGCCCAAATTAGTCTAAGAGCATCCACAATCATGTCCTTTATTTTTTAGTTAAATTTTAGTTAAAAACATATAAAAGTTATTTTAGGAGCTCTCTATAAAATTTAAACTTCAATTATGCTCTCTAGTTTAGAAAGTCATAAATGCTATAACTCTTTTTTGATTGGTCAATCTCTATTAAAAAATAAAATAAAAAATAATTAACATTAAATAAAGGTTGAAATACTCATTAAATAAAGCAGCATTAAATTATAGGGAGGCACTAGGAGTCTCTCTCCTCAAATTTAGGAGCTCCTAAAAGTCTCCCTATTTTAGGAGGTGGATAGAGAGTATGGTTGGAGTTGTATTTTTACAATTCCTCCCTAAAATTTGTCTAAGGAGGTGGTTTAGGAAGCCCATTATATCCTTCCCATGAGAAAGACTTTCATGAAACGGAAATAACACTATTTTGCTATCCTCAACCAATAACGCTATGACACACGTTGAAACTAAGTTTTTCTCTCATCCCTCACCTCCTCTCCCTTCTTACTTGCCCCTCTCTTACATCCCTCTCCTTTTTAATTTTACACATATATATATATATATATATGTTGTAGACATAGGGTTCTAGCTTTTGATTTGTTTGTGGATGACGTGGCTACCTTTGTTGGTTGTTTTGCAAATCTCGGGTTCCAACTTTTGATTTACTTAATGTGTTAATAATTTTTGTTTGTAATAAGTACATTAACTCTTTTTGAGTTTTGTTATATTATTACTCCTATCCTACTAGCGAAATAGGAAAATAGGCAGGTAAGGTCCTAAAAAAAAAAAAAAAAAAAAAAAAAAAAAAAAAAAAAAAAAAAAAAAAAAAATAGATAGTAGTTTTGTGAGTTGTGGTCTATGCTAGACTTTTGCAGGCTTGCGAGTTTTATGTCAGAATTTATTTGGCCTTCTATGGCAATTTGTGGAGGTACACTTGTGTGCATGTTGTCGGAGGAGTCTTTTGTATTTGGATTAACCATTTGTGGTTATTGCGCTTCTGTATTTATAATAACCTTAAGTCGTTATCTGACTATTGTGGTTGATGACCTTTGTACCTGAATTATAAATACAATCTATTGTCTTTATTTAAAAATAAAAAATAAAATCCTCAATTTATGATTCGCTACACACGTTTTATTAAAACATATATATGTACTTATCTTGCTGATGGTCTTTCTTTTATCATGGTCTTTGGAGTACCAGCCAATTCAACAATATGTTATGTTCCTCTAAGCTTTGTATTAGAAACGAAGTCCGCCCTTTCTAAAATAAAGCGACTTGAAAGCAAGTGCTCTCTTCCATCACATAAACAAACCAATTCCCTCACTTTCTCTATAAATACAAGACGTATTTGTTTATACAAGAACCACAACACAGAACACAACAAAAGAACATTTTAAACTCCCTCAAAAACACATTAATTCCCAAATGGGGGATTCTACTAGCTCTTCCTCCAAGAAAACTGTCAACGACAGAACATTAACAGGAGCAGGCAACCTCATCAAGGTCCTCCCCACCGGCACCGTCTTCTTGTTCCAGTTCCTCAACCCTGTCTTGACCAACAATGGCCACTGCGCCGTCCTCAACAAATCCCTAAGCGCCATTCTCATCGCCATGTCCGGCTTCTCTTGCTTTTTTGCATCCTTCACTGACAGTTACACTGGCAGTGATGGAAAAACCCACTATGGGGTTGCAACAACTAAGGGTCTTTGGCCCTCAACAAATTCCAAATCTGTGGACTTGTCTGCTTATAAGCTTAGGTTTGGGGACTTCGTGCATGCCTTCTTTTCCTTGATTGTGTTTGCAGTTGTATCACTTTTGGACGCCAACAGTGTCAGGTGCTTCTATCCAGGGTTTGAGTCCAGTGAGAAGGTTTTGCTGCAGGCGTTGCCTCCTGTCATCGGTGCAGTTGCCAGTGCTGTTTTCGTTGTGTTCCCTAATAGTCGCCATGGAATCGGATACCCCTCCTCAAGTTCTGATTCTTCGCAAGACTCAGGGAAATCCTGAAGGAATTGAAGTATCTGTGCTTCTTTGTTTAATAAGTAGTCCTAATTTAGGACTCCTAAATATGACACTAGTGCTTGCTCACGCAAGTTTGTGCTTTTCATTGTTTGTTTAGTTGTTTGTCTAAGTTTGATTCCGTATCGATCCCTTTGGAATGTATGTAACAAGTTTCATTGTTCAATTTAACCTATTACTGCAACCTCATTCCTATATCTCAGAGAGAGAGAGAGAGAGAGAGAGAGAGAGAGAGTTCCTCTTGTTCAGGAGTTAAGTTGACTGGCTCCCCATTAATTGTAGAGCATCTTCACGGTGAGCTTGGTGTCACTGTCACGTTTGTCGATTTACAATACTTCGAAAACTTCGAAACTTTTTGGCCCTTCTTGATCGTTTTCTTGATTGAAGATGAACCCACTTTTGTTACCTTTTTTTTGCTTTGACGTGACTTTCTTAGCTCGAGCGGCAATCGTAATGAAGTCATCATCCTCTTCTTCCTTCCTTACCTTTGCTTCTATTTTGGCTGACACCTGCTTGTTCTTTACAGAAGTAGAAGAATCTATAGTAAATTTGGCTTACACCCTTCAAATTCAATTTGCTGTACCTAAAACCCTTCACTTTTTGTTCCTATAAATAATACCCAATTTGTATAAGTAAAAACCCATAACTAGGATCCAACTCAGCAAGTTACCTAATTAAGTATAAAATCTGATTTATTGTACTTTTCAGATTCCAAAAATACCCTCAACTAAGCAATTATTGCATTTTGTATATTAATGTAGGAATCAATATGGAAACAGTTTTTAATTGGATTGTATATAATGACAGATGTTGAATTTGGAAAGATCTGTAAATAATTGTAATGGATGTAGGAATTAATTTTGAAACATTTTTAAAAAAATTTAACAATAAATTCAAATTTAGGTAATCGGTTTGTTTAATAAAATGTTTATGTTATTTTCTTTTTATGAATTATACATGACTAATAATCCACTTTATAATTGTTTATGAATAAAACTGTACATACTAATTATGTTGAAAAAATAACGTACCTATTACTTGTTTGTTTTATGAAAAACATAATTTACCTTGTATGAAAAGTGTACATAATTATCTATTCCAAATAATGTACCTATACACATTTACAGGTATATTGTAAAATAATTTACCTGTGGGTAAATAATGTACCTATATTTTATATAAATTATTGTGTACCTATTTTTAATTATGAAAAATATACGCAATTACAAAGTAACTTTGTTTTTTTTTTTTTGTTTGTAAATAATATACCTATATTTTATATTATATTTTTCATAGGTACATTATTGGATATGTAATTTACATATATATATATTTTTTTTGGTTGTAATTTTAGGGGGCAAGATGTGAGAGGGAATGACAACTAAAAGAAATGGGGTGATTGATATGCTATTAATAGGGAGTATATTAATTACAATTATGGCAGTTAATGAAATGCTTGAAATAAATTATAAATAAAATATGAAGTTTGGTGGCAATGATGTAAAAACATAGAAATACTACGACCTCTTATATCATACTAGTCATTTAAATTTGAAATTGGGTTTTACACATAGATTTATAGAGTGATGGGTATATGTCTAGGAAATAGAAAATATAGGGATCTATATTGGACAAGCCCAAAAATCTAAGACAACCATTTTAACCTTGGAGTGCTTTGTAGACACAACCAAATCCAAGGCAATCCCACTCCCACCCACAAAAAAAAAAAAAAAAAAAAAAAAAAAAAAAAAAAAAAAAGAGAAAACGGCAGTTGCCATTATTTGGTGAGGTGACTAAAGCCTTTAGTTACCCCCACATTAGTCACCAAATAATGATAACTGTTGCCAATTTTTTTTTATAGTGATTTCAACTTTTGGAGCCTCTGCAATGGATGGCAGGGATGTGCACTTTTCAAGTGAGTGCACCTACCTCTCTCTCAATCTAGGGTTCAACGAAATAGATTGAGGCTGTGGAAGGGGGTGGATTTATGGTATTGTGGAATCAATTGAATCCTCTATGATCCTGTAAGCCCAGAAAATATAGGTTTTATTTCAGACAAAAGGGGGTATATTAAGAGTTTAAAAGAGTTCAAAAGTCTATATGTATTCAATTAAGATTTTAAAAGAGTTTGTTAAAATTTGGGTGTATTCAATTCAGATTTCTAGTGATTTTAAAAAAATACATCGAAATCTAGGTGTATTTAATTATGACTTTTTAGAAGTCAAACAAAGTTTAGATGTATTCAAAAAGTTATTTATTTTGAAGGAATTAATGAGTTGCCCGATTTCGTTAGAATTTAAAGTAGTAAGTATAAAGAGAAACAACCATAATAAATCTTATGTCAACCCTAAAAACGTGCTCTACACTTTCCAGAATGTGTGTGCTTGTTAAGTGGAGATGATAAAATTCTTCTTTTTTTCTACGCTTTCATATGTGTATGATCTTGGATACCCCTCTTCTTGCAATCGTATGGTTGATAGTCTTTGAATAGTTCTTGTACATCAGATATCCATGTACAGAAGCATCCCAATTATTTTTTCTTCTTTTTTTATTTTATATTTTAGTTGTGGGTAACCATAGCGTACGTCGTTTTCTGTACAGTATATATATATATATATATATATATATATATATATATGATGGTAAACCATGGCTAGATATATAGGTAACTAATTAAATATTTACTAGCTCCCGGATTAGATATATATACAGTAAGCAAACCATAGCGTTGTTTTCCATGGCGTCGTTTTCCGTACATAATATCATATGTATATATAGTAAGCATTCCTTTTTTTTTGGTTATGCATTTTTCTTCTTTATTTGTCTATTAGTTGTTGTTATTCGGTTTTGTTTATGTACAATATATATGTGTGATGGCAACAAATATATATAACAATGTATATATATATCTAGTCCACACCAAAACAAAAGGAAAAAAATAAGACACCTCCATTTGCAATTGGACTTGGTTAGATATATTTAATTAACTTTAACGTATGCCCTTTCATTTCTATATAAGACACAATTTTCTGCGCCATGAGTGATGTTTTGATGAATTTCCTATTGAAAGAGACAAGCATTCAACATCGTCATCGTTACCGGAAAATGAAGGAAATAATTATGACCAAGTTTTTCAAATCCAAGAACAACAACGCGAGAATGCTAACCAATGGAGGGTTGGAATATCTTCAAATGTGTGGAGAGATGCTATGAATGATGGGAGTTAAAGATGAGCAATGAGCAGATACTTATTCATTTTTATGCATTTATAATTATAGTTTACTTATCATTTTTTTGTTCATGAATTAACTTTTATATTTTTACTTTTGCGCATTTTTCATAAACATGCACACATAAATTCTTATTTGGTTGCACATTTGAACAAAACAAATGCTCTTTTTTAATATTTTCTTTTGATGTTATTCTTTGGACGTTCTGTTTTAACTCTTTTAAAACCTTAATTGAATATACCCTCCAAAGTTTATGTGGAATTAATCTGATACAATACCATGGCAGGCAGTAGGGGTGGGGGTTTTGACATTGAGGCAGATTCAGTGTAAACACTTCAACAGATTGCCACCGCATATCAAACTATCTCATCATCGAAAAAACTAAAATCTGTGTCACAGAGAAAAAAGAAATATCAAACAACCTTTGGATGCTCCCCACGGCCTCGGAATAATCCAGGTGGTTCAACTCTGAAGTTTCTAACCTGTATTAAGATTGAAACCAGAAATCACTAGGCAAACTACTCATTTAATGACAAAATGCAAAGAACAGAGCTAAGCTACTATCATTTAACAACATATTAATTGACATTGCATATCTACCATATTCACAATCATCAGAAAAGCACCATAGGATTGGTAGATATATTGCAGATGGACTAATCAGATTGCAAACTAGGTTACAGGGGAAAAAGCAATCAAAAAGCTAGAGATAACCTTTTCTTTTACACCATCAACAATAGCCCACATATACTTCTCTTGTTTCAGTTTCTCTTCCTGCAAGGCCTTCTTGTCCTGCATCAACACATGCTCCTTAAAAATTTTGCAACAACAAGGAGGTATAAGGACAAACAATGAATTAGAGCTAGCTACCAACTTACTTCCTTACTCAGCTGTTTCTTTTTCTCCTTTTCATTCTGATACCAATCATATACTGGGGTAAAATCACAAGCATCCAATTTCTGAATTACATGCCTCTTCCCAAGCAACTTTTGCCAATCATTCCAGAAATTGTTTCTGAATGTTTTTTTCTGCACATATTCTGTGTCCTTCATCACGGCATACATCGTCGCAACCTGCACTTATAAACTTAAATCATCAAGAAATTAGAACATACAACGAAGCAAGTATATATAGATCGTTGAGAGAGTGAGACAGGGACCTCCTCTTGTTCAGGAGACAGGGACCTCCTCTTGTTTAGAATACTTCGAACCTTTTTTGTCCTTCTTGATCGTTTTCTTGATTGAAGATGAACCACTTTTGTTACCTTTTTTGGCTTTGTCAATGCCACAGATGATTTATTATCTGACCTGACTTTCTTAGCTCGATCGGCAATTGTAATGAAGTCATCATCTTCCTCTTCCTTTGCTTCTTTTTCGGCCGACAGCAACTTCTTGTTCTTTGCAGAAGCAGAAGAATCCGGAACTTTTGGCCTTTTAACTGAAGACTGCTCAGAGACATTGGCCTCATCTAGAGGCCTCTTACCAGAGACCGGAGAAGAAGTTTTCGTCTGAGGTTTCGGCTTCATTCGAAGCCTTGATGATAAGGGTTTGTCATCCTCTTCCGAATCAATAGAAGTCTTACTTTCTTCTTCAATAGTGGCAGGCTTAATCTGTTCTGATAGATGTTCTGACTGACCCTCTAATGAAGCTGATGCTTTTGAATTGGATACTGGTGAGGTGCTGGCAGATGAAGTTGAAGCTTCTGGGCTTGATAATGGAGATTTTACTGGCGATGATTTGGTTGATGGAACCATCTTACCCTTTTGCAACACTTGAGTTTGGACCTTGTGTATTTACATGCATGCAATCCTTGTTGTCTTCTCTTTAAGTTTTCTTTATATTATCAAAAATTCAATTTGATATATATATATATATATATATATATATATATATATATAGAAAGAGAGAGCTGCGTAGATAACGAGATCAGATAAATGTTTCAGGGAATGTAACCCTAAATTCCAAACACCATAATCGTAAGAGAATCAGAGAGGATATCATAAGCATATAATGGAATGCACAGAGATCAAACCCTAATGGGGCAAAAGCAAAAGAAAGAGTCCTAAGGAAAAGCGTACTTGTTCGTCAAGGAATAAATTGAACTTGCAGCTTCTGATCTCTAAAGTTCAGCACAATTATGAAAGTAGGGTGTGAATATTGAACAAGGATAAAAGACAGCATTAACAATTTATCAAATTAAAACCGTTACTTAAAACACACATACAACAACAGGAAACATAAATTACATGTTCTCCTACAAAAAAAAAAAAAAAAAGGTTTCCTATTTTTAAGGGAGTCCCATGTTTACTTTTTAAAAATAATTAAAAAGAAAAAATGTAAAGTAGGAAACTCAAATAGAAATTGATCAATATATGTAAAGAAAAGTGCAACGGGGGTTTCAACTTGAGACTATTGGTCTGCAAGTCAAGGACCTTTTCATTGGACTAGACCCGGTTGAAAAAAAAAAAGTTAAAAACAATAATATATAGTAACTAACTGACAAAAATTAGAGCAAGTTAGGATTGGGCCATAGAGCCTAGGTAACGGTTTTTAGGTTAGGTTGGGCTTATGTTTACAAACCTACTTGAAAAATACAAATTCTATTATTTCAAATTTATCTATGATATAAGTCAAAGATTCACAAATGGTCCGTGCGATTTGAGGGAATTGTAACTTTAGGTATTGCAGTTTGAATTTTGTTGATTTTACTCATGTTGTTTACTTTCGTTACTGATTTAAGACAAATATTCCATTTCTGCCAATTTTTATAACTTTGGATGACTTGTAGCCCGTGCAACCAACTCCCGCATCATGCATCGACATACCTAACATGTGAATTTTCAATGTGCAACCACGCATTAAACTCATCACATGAATGTCATATTAGAATTAGAGCATGCAACCCCAAAAATTAATTGACCATTAATAAAGAGGCTCAATATATTGTTATGTAAGGCTTAGAATTCTAGATATGAGATTCTCTGCTCTCAAAACAAAGGATACACATAGCGCAAATTAGTCTAAGTAGCTTAAGTAAACATCAGCAACAGTAGCCCATCTGATTAGTCTAAGTGACATCACTTGATAATAATTGAGAGAAATGTATCAAATTTAGCAACTCCCTTAGAGCATCTCCAGCGCATGGCCCAGCCCGGGGAAAGGCTGCCAGAGGGAGTCCGAGGCAGCTCCAGCGCAAGGCCCGTAGCCCGGTTTGGTGGTGGGTCCCACGAGCCCGAGGAAGCCCAAGGGCAAGTCTTGCCCGGGCTGAAGCCCGAGTTGGGTGACGTCAGCACTGGCGTCACGCTGACGCCAGCGCACGGTAAGTCAAATTTTTTTTACCGTTGGCGCGTGAATTACACGTGCCAACAGTAAAAAAAATTTGAGTTCCGTGCGCTGGCGTCAGCGTGACGCCAGCGTTGACGTCAACCACTAACAGCTCCAACGGGCGTGTGCCACGTGGCGCGACGGGGACTCTCGGATGGATTTTTTCTAGAAATCCGACGGTCCTCGTTTTTTTGGCTAAAAAAATTGCAAAAAAAATCGAAAAAATTCTGAAATTTTTTTAAAAAAATACCCAAAAATTATGTATTTTTTCTCTATAAATACCTAACCATTTTATTTACTTTCCACACTAAAATCTTCATACAATTTCTTCTCCATCCCATATTTTTTACTCTTTACTCACATTATTCACTTTCCACACCAATTCTTCATACAAACTTTTCTCCTTCCAATTTTTTTGTTTATCTCCACTCACATTTTTCACTTCCACACCAATTCTCCATACAAACTCTTCTCCTTCCAATATTTTTTACTCTCTTTCTACTACTTTCCATTTGTATAAAAAAAAACGAATGGCATCTTCTATTGAAGTCGGAGGCTTGTGGTCAACGAATGAAGATATTGCGTTGTGTCAATCTTGGGTGAACATTAGTCATGACCCTATCACGGGTAATGAGATGAAGTTTCATCACATGTGGAGCAAAATTCATGGAGAATTTTGTCAAAGATCGGGTTCTATTCGGACCGAAATGGCGTTGTCTAGTAGATGAAAACTTCTTAATAAAGAGTTAGGGAAATGGAGAAATGCCTTGACAAAAGCAAAGGCGAACATTCAAAGCGGTCAAAATTTGACCGATGAGGTAAAATATTTATAATTGCCATTTTAATCAATTCAATGTCACTTTTTTTTTATTGCATATTCTATTTGTTTTTCTTGCATAATTTTTTTTTCTTGGTGCACCTTTAATTTGTCTATATTTTCTTGCATAATCAATTTTATTTTTGCATTTCAAAATAGTTTATATTTTCTTGCATAATAATTTTTGTTTCTTGCACTTCCAATTATTTATTTTTAATAGATGGTACAAGCACAAATGTGGTTCGGTGCCATGGGGCAAGGCAAAAAAAGTTTCGTGCATTTCCAATGTTGGGAAATTGTGAAGGATTGTTCGAGATTCAAAATTATTCCCACCGGTCCGCGGTTGTGATGAATGAGACGCCACTCCACGATTCAACATTAACCGATTCTCCATTGGACTCCCCAATGGAAACGGAGTCACCATTTGTGCCACGTCCGCCAAGACCTATTGGGAGAAAGGCGGCAAAGGCCAAGAGAGGGGCCACTTCGACCAATGATTGTGTACAATTATTGGAGCAAATAGCTAAGAGCACCTCACTAAGAATCGAGAGAGACTTGAAAAGAGATGAAATGGACATGGCACGAGAGGAAGCATTTGTTCTCCAACAACAAATGGCACAAGAAAAAGACATAGAGGATAGGGAGATGAAAATCATGGCTATGGATATGAGCCATATGTCTCCTGAAACAAAGGCCTATTGGAAGCTACGACGAAGAGATGTGATGAGGAAAAAACTTTTCAATGACGACGAACCTAGCAATACGGATTGGTTAAATGATGAAAACCATTAGGAAGCAATTGAAACACCTTTGCCATATGTTGTATTGTTGTATTGTTGTATTGTTGTATTGTTGTATTGTTTATTGTTGTATTATCCTTTAATTTGTTGTATTGTTGTATTATCCTTTAATTTGTTGTATTGTTGTATTGTTGTATTATCCTTTAATTTGTTGTATTGTTTCCTTTTTATTCAATAAAAAAAGCATTAAATAAAATGACTATTTATTAAAAACATTTGAGCATCAAGACAAATATTAATTAAAAAAAACCTTCATTGATTGCGAACAACACACAAAACAAACCATACATAAAAGCATAATAATAAAAAGCATAATTCCAAAAAAAAACCACACACAAAATAAAGCATAATTAAAAACAAAGCATAATTTCAAACAAAACCACACACAAAACAAAGCATAATTAAAAACAAAGCATAATTCCAAACAAAGCACTAATCTTGACTTCATCCATTGTGATTGCCTTTCATCTCCCACAAGTGCTCGATCAAGTCACGTTGACGTATCTCGTGAACATATGAAGATTGCATTTCTTGATACCGATCAATCATGGGGTTGTTGAATTGACCATCCCGAAGTATGGGTTCGGGCTCCAGTGGTAGTCCATTTGGTCCAATCGGCCTTTCATATATTCTTGTCAACGATGTGTTCATTGGATCGGGTTCAAACACCTCTTCAGCATCATAGTCATACTCATCCTCCACAATCATGTTGTGAAGGATGATGCAAGTCATCATAATACTCCGCAGCACCTCCTCATCTAGCATCCGAGCAGCACCTCTAATAATTGCCCAACGAGCTTGCAAGATACCGAAACACCTCTCCACGTCTTTCCTGTAACCTTCTTGAAAGGAAGCAAAGTTTCTTTCCTTCTCGGATTGGGGATTCGGAATTGTTTTCACGAATGTCGTCCACCTAGGATAAATTCCGTCGGAAAGGTAGTACGCACCAGAGTAAACGGTATTGTTGATTTGGTACGTGACCTGGGGGGAATGACCTCGCAATACCTCATCGAACACTGGGGATTGACCAAGGACATTGAGGTCATTCTGAGAACCGACAACCCCGAAGAAGGCATGCCAAACCCAACAATCGAATGAAGCTACGGCCTCCAAAATTACACTTTTTTGGCCCTTCCGATTCCCGTACTCCCCTTGCCAAGCAGTAGGACAGTTCTTCCACTGCCAGTGCATACAATCGATGCTTCCAATCATTCCTGGGAAACCTCGAGCCTCGCCTTTTTGTAGAAGCCGTTGCAGGTCTCTTGGCGTTGGTTTGCGAAGGTACTCCCTCGTGTACAAATTTTCCACTGCATCACAGAATCTCACCAAGCACTCTAGGACAGTAGATTTTCCCATCCTTGCAATCTCATCCACCTGCTCTGCAGATGCCCCATAAGCAAGCATCCGCAAAGCAGCTGTCAGTTTTTGCTCCGGGATAAGACCTAAAGCTCCAACAGCATCATGCTTTTGAATGAAGTATGTGTCGTAATTACAAATATCATGCATGATTTTTTGGAACAAATGTGGTTGCATTCTATATCTTTCTCGAAACTTAGAAGCAGGATATAACGGATTTGGGATAAAATAATCCTCCATGAGATTCTTACCCCGAGACTCCCTACGTCTGTCCACATTCGGGGCACGAGGACGACGGTGTTGCCTTGATTGATCCATCATACACACCGCTGCTGCAAGCAGTAGTTCCTCTTCTTCATCGGCTTCCCGATCTTCTTAAGCACGTCTACGCCTTGTTTCTTCCCTTTGTTTCTGTTGCCTCTCCAACACCCTCAACAAGTTTGACATTGTGAGTAGAATGTGTTTTCTACAATCTGAGAAATGAAGGAATAGATAAGAGATGGTGTGAGAGGTATGAATATCAGGTCTAGTTTATAGACGGATTTAGAAGATAGAGATGACACGTGGCACAATTTGAGAGGATGAAAATCTTATCTAAAATCTGAGATTATAATTTTTTTAAAATATCTGAAAATGTTCTCTGACATTTGACACGTGGCACAATTGTAGAGGGTGAAAATCTAATCTGAAATCTGAGATTATAATTTTTTTAAAATATCTGAAAATGTTATCTGACATTTGACACATGGCACAATTGTAGAGGGTGAAAATCTTATCTGAAATATGAGATTATAATTTTTTAAAAATATCTAAAAATGTTATCTGACATTTGACACGTGGCACAATTTTAGAAGGAATTTTCTTGGAATAATTTTTATTAAAATTTGAAATATCGAAAATTAACTACGAAACTTTAAATGCCGTTTTGGAAGGCCAAACGACCTCAAAATGCCAAAATCCATCATACATCATACATCATAGCAAAGCTGTGAGTTTGACTCGTGGCGTCGTTCCCTTTCCGAAATGGTATTTTGCGTCCTAATCGGAGTCGAACGACAAATCTGCAAATTCCCACTACATCCTTTTTCTAGCTCAACCGCGATAAAATATGCCATTTGTTCTACATCAGACGTGGCACAATTTTAGAGGGTGAAAATCTTATCCGAAAATTTAATTACAAAAGATTATCAAAATTAATGGTTTAAACTATAAAAAAATAGAAAATAAAGTAAAATGAATAGTAATTGCCTTAGACTTGCCCTTGTGGGTGGAACCACAAATGCAAAGGCTGACACTATTCACGTGAATAGTGGCAGCCCTTGCTTGCCCTTGCCTTAGACTTAGCCCTTGTGGGTGGAGATGCTCTTATGGGCCTAAAGTTCATGGAAGCAAAAAAGTTGGTAATTTTAACCGAATTTAATTTTGGCTTCCTGCTTACTCCAAAACCCATAAGTTCGCATTTCGCTAGTGTAACAACAACATTAGTCGAGCACACTTCATGCACTGCCCAAAAAGAAGAAAATATATGAAATTGAATCATCACCAAAATTAGTAAAGTTCAAACACAAGGAGAGAAACTTATTTATGTGCCGGTATTCCTAGTCAATCACATATGATCATTTATTTTTACTTTATTACATGACAGTGTATGATTAGTTGAATCATTTAGAATACGATCACGGTGGTATCCCGTTACATAGAAATTATTCTCCTAACACAGAGATCGATCATCTAATAAGTCTATATCATGTACGGGACCATAAAAGAAAAGTATCTCCATGCCACGGCATGATATTGTAATTCCACACATGTGCAACATCTAACATGTTGATTCCATACTAAAAAGATAATATGTATACATGTATGTTGATTCCTTGCCCAAACAAACAAAGTTCATTTTATTTTATTTTGAAATATCGGCCTTGTTTAAGACGACCTTGGCATGGTTGTTCAACTTTTTTTTCTTCCCTTTATTTATTGTTAGTAGATAATATACATATAACACTCTATATTCTATATTCTATATTAGGAGGAATTTTAAGGTACGTTGATTCCTTGCCCAAACAAACAAAGTTTATTTTATTTTGTTTTGAAATATCGGATTAAGGCTGACCATGGCATGATTGTTCAACATTTTTTTCCTTTATTTATTGTTAGTAGATAATATACATCATTTTATATAGATCCCACACGGGACGGGCGTCACCAAATGCAATGGTCACACCTCTTGTGAGGATGTTGCCCTATGCGTTCGAGTTACTTAATAGTATATAGGTTTATTGTATAGTTTGACACGCTTAATTATCGTAAATTTTCTCTACACACACGCTTCATTAAAACATATATTTGTACTTATCTTGTTGATATGGTCTTTGGAGTACAAGTAAATTCAACAATATGTTATGTTCCTCTAAGCTTGGTATTAGAATCGAAGTCCGCCCTTAAAATAAAGCAACTTGAAAGCAAGTGCTCTCTTCCATTACATAAACAAACCAATTCCCTCACTTTCTCTATAAATACAAGACATATTTGTTTATACAAGAACCACAACACACAACACAACAAAAGAACACTTTTAAACTCTCTAAAAAACACATTAATTCCCAAATGGGGGATTCTACTAGCTCTTCCTCCAAGAAAACTGTCAACGACAGAACATTAACAGGAGCAGGCAACCTCATCAAGGTCCTCCCCACCGGCACCGTCTTCTTGTTCCAGTTCCTCAACCCTGTCTTGACCAACAATGGCCACTGCGCCGTCCTCAACAAATCCCTAAGCGCCATTCTCATCGCCATGTCCGGCTTCTCTTGCTATTTTTCATCCTTCACTGACAGTTACACTGGCAGTGATGGAAAAACCCACTATGGGGTTGCAACAACTAAGGGTCTTTGGCCCTCAACAAATTCCAAATCTGTGGACTTGTCTGTTTATAAGCTTAGGTTTGGGGACTTCGTGCATGCCTTCTTTTCCTTGATTGTGTTTGCAGTTGTATCACTTTTGGACGCCAACAGTGTCAGGTGCTTCTATCCAGGGTTTGAGTCCAGTGAGAAGGTTTTGCTGCAGGCGTTGCCTCCTGTCATCGGTGCAGTTGCCAGTGCTGTTTTCGTTGTGTTCCCTAATAGTCGCCATGGAATCGGATACCCCTCCTCAAGTTCTGATTCTTCACAAGACTCAGAGAAATCCTGAAGGAATTGAAGTATCTGTGCTTCTTTGTTTATAACAAGTAGTCCTAAATATGACACCAGTGCTTGCTCACGCAAGTTTATGCTTTTCATTGTTTGTTTAGTAGTTTGCCAAAGTTTGATTAATTTCTTCTGTATCGATCCATTTGGAATGTATGTAACAAGTTTCTATTGTTCAATAAAATTTCCATTTATGAATTCTCAAGTACTTTAATAGGAAAGGCAAATAATGTTTTAATTTCTTCCTCTTGTTGAGGAGTTAAGTTGACTGGTTCCCCATTGTAGAGCATCTTTACCCCATGAGGCTTGTATGGAGGTGTGAAGATGACACCATTGTGAACTAAAGTAGACCATATTTCCTGCTCATCATTAGAGCTTGGTGCCACGTTTGTCGATTTACAATACTTTAAAAACTTTGCCCTTCTTGATCGTTTTCTTGATTGAAGATGAACCTTTTTTTGCTTTGACCTGACTTTTCTTAGCTCGAGCGGTAATCGTAATGAAGTCGTCATCCTCTTCTTCCTTCCTTTTACCTTACATTTGCTTCTTTTTTGGCTGACACCTGCGTGTTCTTTGCAGTGCTTTGTAGAATCTAAGACAACCATTTTAACCTTTGAGTGCTTTGTAGAACGACAAACCAAAGCATCCCATGCAATATTTCAACTTTCTGAGAGCCTCCGCAATGGATGGCAGGGACGTGCACTTTTCAAGTGAGTGCACCTACCTCTCTCTCTCAATCCAGGGTTCAACGAAATAGATTGAGGATGTGGAAGGGGGTGGATTTATGGTATTGAGGAATCAACTGAATCCTCTATAGTCTTGTAAGCCCAGAAAATATAGGTTTCATTTCAGACAAAGTTTTTAAGGAATCTGATACAATTCCATGGCAGGCAGTATAGGGGTGGGGTTTTTGACATTGAGGCAGATTGTTGCTGGGCATTTTATTTTTCATTTTCTAAGTTTTTTATTTTTTAAAATTTGTTCTTAAATAAAAAAATGGGTGTTAAATCTATCTATAAAAAGATTGTACACATGACAAATTTTGAGTGCAAGTATTTGGCGTGGTGATAACGTGCCATTCTATATATAATTTCTCCTACTTTCTTGAATTGATAAATATTTATATATAAAAAATTTATGCAATAAAAAGCAGGAACCTCCTTTTAGATTGACAAAAAAATATTTATTTACACTAACATCTCCTGAGGTTTTTGATATTTTCACAAAATCCCCTGATATTTTAAAAATTACACGAACCCCTAAGGTTTTAAATTATTTTTATAAAATGCATTTTAGTTGATTTTGCGTCCAAGATTGATTTTATAAAATAAAAAAAATCTTCAAATTACAAAGTTACCCTATGATATTATATTGCACATACATTATTGAGCTAAATTTTGTCGTTTGCATAAGTTTTTATTATATGAAATCATCAATATTTGGACGAACAATCAACAAATACAGGTTTTGTGAAAACAATTTGAAATCTTAGGGAGTGTTCGTATAATTTTTGAAATCTCAAGGGGTTTTGTGAAAACACTAAAAATCTCAAGGATGCTAGTGTAAATAAAATTTTGAAGATATTTTAACCACAAGGTATGGTGCAGTTGACAAACTGTCACCTCTAGCTGGCGATCTACCTAGGGCCTTAATGACAAGGGTTCGAAACCTGTTGAAAGCATTTTGTGGCCAAGGGCAAGCCGAACCTTGATCAGGGATTAATCCCACACTTCAAGTGTGAGGACATCTTGTGGTATATATATATATAACAATAATAGTAAAATAAGAGCAAGTTTGGATCGGGCCATTGAACCTAGGTAGCAAGTTTTAGGTTGGGCCTTCAAGCTTTGGGCCAATTTTTACAAACCCACTTGCAAATAAAATTCTATTAGTTCAAATTCATATGTGATATAAAGCGAAAAGTCACAAATCGTCCATGCAATTTAAGGGAACTGTAACTTTAGGTACTGGGTTTGAATACTTTTGTTACCCATTTCAATCGAATATTCCATTTCTGCAAAACTTTTTTATAAAAATACTTGGGTGACCTGGAGCATGTGCAACCCATTCCCGCATCGTGCACATTAAACGAACCTAGCATGTGAATCATCAATGTGCAACCACATATTAAGCTTAGTGCATTGTTAAATCGCTTGCTATGATATCACGTTAGAATTAAAGCATCCAACTCAAAACTAATTAATTATGAATAAACAGGCTCAATATATTGTTATGTAAGGCTTAGAATTCTAGATATGAGATTCTATGTTCTCAAACAAAAGGATACAGTTGACCCAAAAAAACAAAAGGATACATTGCCCAAATTTCTCGTAGTAGCTAAAGTAGACCTGAACAACAGTAGCCCATCTGATTAAGAAAAAGACTCAGAGTAGCCCAAACAAACCTCAACAGCCCAAATACACAATAAATAACAAAGTTTTTGGTCAAGAAAACTTCTTCCCATGAATACAAACCTATCTCATGTCATCTTCCTGCGTACTCCAAAACCCATAAAGTTTGCATGTTGCAAGTCCAACAAGAATATTGGTCGGTCGAGAACTATTCATGCACTGCCGAAAAAGGAAAAAAATATGAAATTAAAATCACCACCGAAATGAGTAAAACTTCTCTACCAGCCTAAGAACAGGTGAGAGAAACCTACCTACCCCACTGAGATACCACCACAAAATTACTTACGTATTGTCATTTGATTTCACTTTTGTATAAGATAGTACTTGATTGATTTGAAATATCGTTACAATGACATTCTGATTGTTTAAAAATTATTCTTCAATATCATGTACGTCATTGACCCGAAAAAAGAAAACTGCATGCCACCAACTCATGATGTTGTAAGTCCAATCATGTGCAACATCGTTATGTGTTGATTACTTGCTTCCCCAAACAAATGAGTTTAATTTCCTTGAAATATCGGACTGTTGTCATGGCACGGCTTTTCAACATTTTCGAAATTGATTTATTGCTAGTAGATAATATACATACATCACTCTATATGCTATATTAGGAGGAATATAAGGAAAGTCGTCGGAGCGTGGGTAGGCAATTGTGAACAGTAAACTTATGTAGATCCCACAATCGATTCTATCCACAAAATAGCCTTGGGTAGAGTTATTGTAGGAGGTAAGAACTCACAAGGGGTGAACTCATGTGACACCAAATGCAAGGGTCCTACCTCTTGTGAGTATGTTGCCCTAGGCGGCAATCCTACTTATGATTTTCTCATTGCCCACACTTTGATTGATGGATTATAATCGTTCGATCGTACAAACGTGAATAAATGTTAATTTGTGACATAATTCATTAATATGTTTGTATGTCAGTTAACCCTACCAAAGTTTTTATTATTATTTACTATTCTTCATTTGTACAGTTTTTTACTATTCTTCATTTGACTAGCAACTTGCATGCGTATTATATATTGGTTTATTATATCTTTGAGTTTGACACGCTTAATATATACCCATATATGCATATTACGTACAACTCAAACGTTGATTGTTTATTCAATCCTCCTTGTATCTGGTTCATGATGCCATTAATGGATGATGAATGAATCAAATCTCTATGACATGAGGGGTTCATATTGCAAGTTTGTTGTGGATAAGAGAGTTCATTAAAAAGTAGATTGTCATATACAATTCACTTAATTTCTCTATAAATATGACATGTTATGCATGCTAATTACATGCATTAGTCATCAAATTTCGCGATAATTATTTTATGGCGTCATTAGAGAAAGTGAGTGAGTGATATGTCAGAAAAATCATATATGCATGTTATTCTTACGTTGTGAAATAAAAGACAATTTAATAAAGATTAAGAGTAAATGTATACATTATTAAGTTTCCAAATACAATTTATTCCAAGTGTATTAAGCCTCTTTGTACGCGCTTTCATATATGCGAGACGTCTTTTTTCAATTACGGGCGCTACATGGGACTTATCATACTTTTTATTTATTTTTTATGCAGAGGACTTGTGAGTCTATTTCTAGGGAGAAGAAATTATTATAAATAATAATAATTTAAAAAAAAGATAATTAATGTCACAATAAATATCAATCATTTCAACCTAATCTTCATCATCATATGTACTAAATCTTATAAATAAATATAAAAAAAAATTAATTTCACATGCATGCATCACCACCACTTACTATCTACTTCTTTGGACTTCATCTTCCATCATTCATTCATATTATATTTGATACTTGGCATGCTGTATTCTTCTGGCTGTGAAATCTTAATTGATAACTGAACAATGCAATTGGACTACCTTTGTTGTTCCTTTTTATCGTGAGCTACAAAATAGCAACAACACTTCTCCCATAGCCGTTATTCCATCTTCCCCGACCTGTTTCCCTCTTCGTCGTCAATCCCTGCTCCTTCATCCATAGGAAGCCGCACCATCTCAGAACAGTGTTGTTTTGAACAGCTTTGTTGTGTTGGTCTGTAGCTCTCTGACTTCGGTAGTTGGAATGGTGGATGGATGGGTCTTTCTGATGACTCATTCACAATGACTGTCCCATCCACAGGAACTTAAAAAAAAATCTTGCTTACAAAATTGAAAGGCATAGAGGGAGAATTAGATATTAGATATTGAAATTGAGTTGTTAATGTGTAGAAAATCCAAGCAGAGGATCCGCATCTTTATCCTGTTCCTCTAAGCTTGAATTAGAAACGAAGTCTGGCCTTTCTAAAAGTAAAAGCCATCTTTCCAAATCAACACGACAAAACCATTTTTCAATTAACGTGAAAGCAAGTGCTCTTATTCATCACATAAACAAACCAATTCCCTCACTTTCTCTACAAATATATATACGACATATTTTTTATCAAAGAACCACAACACAACACAACACAAAGAACACTTCCAATAACTCCCTCAAGAACACATTATTTCCCAAATGGGGGGTTCTACTAGCACTTCCTCCAATACAGTGTCATTGTTAACAACCAAAAAGAAAACTTTCAAAGACAAAACATTCACAGCAGCAGGCAACCTCATCAAGCTCCTCCCAACTGGCACCGTCTTCTTGTTCCAGTTCCTCAACCCTGTCTTGTCCAACAATGGCCACTGCGCCACCGTCAACAAATTCCTAAGCGCCATTCTCATCGCCATTTCCGGTTTCTCTTGCTGTTTTGCTTCCTTCACTGATAGTTACACCGGCAGTGATGGAAAAACCCACTATGGGGTTGCAACAGCTAAGGGTCTTTGGCCCTCAAGAAATTCCAACTCCGTGGACTTGTCTGCTTACAAGCTTAGGTTTGGGGACTTTGTGCATGCCTTCTTTTCCTTGATTGTGTTTGCAGTTGTATCACTTTTGGACACCAACAGTGTCAGGTGCTTCTATCCAGGGTTTGAGTCCACTGAGAAGGTTTTGCTGCAGGTGTTGCCTCCTGTCATCGGTGTAATTGCCTGTACTGTTTTCTGTGTGTTCCCTAATAAACGCCATGGAATCGGATACCCCTCCTCAAGTTCTGATTCTTCACAAGACTCAGACAAATCCTGAAGGAATTGAAGTATCTGTGCTTCTTGTTTAAATATGGCATAATTTCTTCTGTATCGATCCCTTTGGAATGCATGTAACAAGTTTCTGTTGTGCTCTAAATTTTCCATTTATGAATTATAACTTGATCTCAATTCTCAAGTAATTTAATAAGAAAGGCACACATGTTTTATGCCATTAGATAGGTACCAAGTCTAACAGTAACTCTAAACACATTCTTCAAATTATAATCCTTGCCACTACAAGAAATAAACCCATTTTCGCGTAAATGTCAACGCCATAGGTATTATATTCTTACATCAGCAAACAATCTATCTAGAAGGTTAGAAGATGAATTTGAAAGAATAGGAACGTATGGGGTAAAGCCTCAATCATCATGAGGGCATATTGTATTGATTTATATAGTATTACAGATAGAATCCTATATCAAGTATGATAAGAATACAATGTAATCAGATAACCAAGAGGAATCCCACATGGGATAAACATAAATACAAGATAGAGTCTTGAGGACAATAGTCATCTAATAGAATTCTCATTCTCATCAAAGAAACCATTAGAAGCATGTTCTTTTCTGCACAAAAACTTCATCTTGTCTGTTTTACAGGTTTGTCTGCCACAATAAACTTGTTCGACTCCTATCATGGGTGGGGAATTTCATAAGTTGTGCACGAGAAGGATCATAAAAGTTGTGCAAAATTACACCTCTACAAGTGGTGGGCATAAAAGAAAATATTCTCTAATTTCGCTAGGGTGTTGGTTATCAGGTTAAAATCACTTTCTGTTGAAGAGTAAAATAATCAATTTGAAAAGAAAGAAAGGAGTTTGTCTTGTATCAATACTAAAATCTTATACTGGTATGCCAGTCAAAGTTCAAACAATTTGGTCATCAAGGAAAGTTGAATAATCTTATTAACTGATACTTGTTCTAATTTTAAGACTTCAAAACTAAAGGCCTACCTAATCCCACTTTTCCCTTCATCAGTTCAGCTAAGGCCTAGTGGACACCAGATAAAGTGACACCATAAGACTCCAAGAATTTATATTGAGTGATGGAGAAAATTCATGATGATGAGGACCAGGGAGACAAGAAGGAAGGGCACACAAAACATCCTAAGATGGATTCTAGAAGAAGGGAAAAGTGATGTCCAACCGAGATTCTAGAAGAAGGATACATTTAGGTTTTAATACTTATTGACAATATGCTCCTCTTTTATACATTCTTCAATACTTTAAAATTATTTCAAAATATATGGATTTGTGTTTAATGAGATACACATATTCTACAATTTTGTAACTATTTATGGCTTTAGGGCATATTTCTGAAAACTGAAGCTTTGAACATGCGGGGGAACTTATACAGTGGCTGGCTTTTGGCCTATGGAGGATTTGGAAGTGTAGGAATGAGGCGATTTTTGAAGGAAAATCAATTGATCCCCAAGATGTTGCCTTATGGTCGAAGAAAGTTCCAGAGTTCGGGGAGATGCAAGCGTTGAAAAAATTACAACAATGTGACATGGGCCATGGACAATGAAGCAACGAGGTCAATGATCAGGGGTGGAGGAAACAAGCGGATGGGATGGTCAAATTGAACTGCGCTGGGCCATGTGGTTAGCGCATACTTTGAGAGGAGGTGTGGGTTCGGTGTGACGTGATCAATATGGTTTGATAATTGAGGCTGGGGCGTTGGAGACTTACATTGTTAATCTGCACCGATGGTGGAGGCTCTTGCGATCAGGGAGGATATGACCAGATGTGCGGCTAGTGGCATTAACAATTTAGAAGTGGTATCTGATTCTCAATCTATCATCGCAATGTTGAACTGAATGGGAAGGTGGCGGTTGAGGCTGCTTTGGATGGGATCGGGTTTGACATTAGGGAGCTGGGCCGACAATTAGGAAAGGTGAGATGAGGTTTATGTATGCACCACTGTCATGTAACCAAGCTCCTTATTTGGTGCCATGTAATGACACTACACCAAATTACAGCTTTTACGATTTGATATTTACGGCACGTTTTTTTGTGCATGTCGTTAATAACTGATATTTACGGCATATGACAAAGAATGCCTTAAAAAGATAGTAAAGCGTGTTGTTAATAACTTACATTTACGGCATATGAAAACATGCCTAAAAGGGTAATTTCTGTGTCTTTTAACGCTGTTATTTTAAATACGCCGAGAATGCAAATTATATATATATATATATATAATATTATGACGTGCGACTGAGTATGCCGTAATTTGTAATTCAATTTTGTTTTTGCTGAAACCCCCCAATATATTTGCAATTCGCTAACAATATAAGAATTTTTTTTATAATTTCCCTCATTTTATTTTTCATTTAGATGTGAACGTTCAAGCAAAGCTGTGAAAGACTATAGCTCCACTTCTCTCTTCATCTCCCTCTCTCACAATTTCTGGATTCTCTCTCACAATTAATCAAGAGCTCCAGTTCCTCGTTTGCTAGAAGACTATTGCTCGAGCAAAGCTGAATTCTCAGTGATATTGAGTTTTGAAATCCCTAACCTCCATGCTTGATATTGAGTTTTGTTTAGTTCTAGATGTCATTCGCTTGCTTTTATCGTGGATTCTATGTGAAAGTTTGTTTTTAATTGATTGAATTTGGATTCTATATGTACGATTTATTATTGAATCCAAGATTCTACTTGGATTTCTGATTTTGTTTGATCGAATTTGGGCTCTAGATTTATGGATCCACTTAAAATCAGCCTCACTATCGCCCTAGGTTGCCAGTGAAGATGTAGAAAAGCCTGATATGTATAGAACGTATAGAGATGCTTATTTCCAAGATGATGGTGTTGTGGAACCAACACATAAAAGAGAAGAGCCAAGTTTTACAAGTTTGTTGGAAGATGCTGAAATTGCTTTATTTCCTGGTTGTATGAATTACATGAAGATGTCTGCAGTTGTTGTCTTGTCCAAGTTTAAAGCTATGCTTGAAATTTTGCGTGACATGCTGCCAGATGGGAACACACTTCCTGATTCTTTTGTATTCAACAAAAAATTTACTAAAGACATTTGATCTAGGTTATGAAAAAGATAGATACATGTGTAAATGACTGCTGTTTATTTTGGAATTACCTTGAGCATATGGATACATGTCCAAAGTGTGATGCTTCAAGATGGAAAACTAATAAGCGCACTAATAAGATTCACAAGGGAATCTCCGTTAAGGTCTTGCGCTATTTTCCTATAGTACCCAAACTTAAGAGGTCTTGCGCTATTCACTTGAAAAGGTTGAACAGTTACTATGGCATTCCAATCATAAAAGTCAGGATGACAAGATGAGACATCCGGTTGATTCACTTGCATGGGAACAAATAGATCGTAAGTATCCTAGTTTTGCATCCGATTCACACAATCTTAGATTGACCCTTTCAACTGATGGGTTAAATCTCGTTGGTGATCTTAGTTCTACATATAGTTGTTGGCCGGTGATGCTAATTATTTACAATCTTCCCCATTCGTTATGCATGTCGAAGGATAATATGGTATTGTCATTATTAATCTCATGCCCCAAGTAGCCAGGAAATGATATAGCTGTATATTTAGAGCCACTAATTCATGATTTAAACGAGCTTTGGAACAATAATGGGATTGAGGAGTACGATTTATTTAGTAACTGATGCATGAAGTCTTCATAAATATCTTTCCAATTCTCTAATGTTATAGGCACCAACTCCCTTGTTGTGGCACTAAAGAAATAAGCTCCTAGTTGAATTCAAACCTCGAGGCCACCCACATGGAGAAAATGCAGCTAAGTTTGCTTTTCTCCTTGGTGCCACAGCAAAGGAGTTGGTGCCTATAACATTAGAGAATTGGAAAGCATGCTCAGGTAATTTCAATTAGCTATGTTTTCCTTATGTTTTTGTTGTCTAAATTAACTATGTTTCTATTTCTAATAATTTCAATTTTTCTGTTTTAGACTATTGCTCGAGCAAAGCTTAACTGCCCCTTATTGATACACCAAATTTATTTATTTTCTTGTTCCAATTTTTACAAAGTCAAAAATCACCTTGTAATGTTAAACTATCCTATGGCTCCTGAGTATAATCAACAAAATAAACTTCGATATGTGAATCCATCAAATATGGGATTTGTACAAAGGATTTCATTGCAACTCAATGGCATAATTCGAGGTTTTGAGATCCTGCCTTTGAAACTGGAAAGCCCACCTGTTCGCCCATAAAACAAAGAACAATTTTTCTATGGGGATTATATGATCCAAGGTTGTCCTCGCATTTCATGATTAATTTGGTTATCTAGTGGTCTAGACTTTAGAGTGGTAAGGACCAACGCAGTGGGAGGTAGGCACAATGGAAGGAGGATTGGTGGTGGTAAAACACGAGTGTTCTGAAGTGGTGGCTTTTAGGTTAACTTATAATTTAGTTTTTAAATTTTTGTGTCAAAATAAACAAATTGATGCTTAGCATATGTGTAAAATATAATTGAAAATCTGATGATATGGCTGATGCCATCTCATTTGGACTCAAATTTGGGGTATAAATTTGGTGTTCCTATCATTATATAAAAAAAAAAAACAAAAAAAAAAAAAAAAATTACATAAGCCACAAAAAAAAATTTCATTTTTGGAAAAAGCCAAAATTTTTTCAAAAAAGACAGAAAAACCTCTCAACTTTCAAATTAAAGACAAGCAAATGTAAAGGATTCCTTAGGAAATTCAAAAATAAATAAGGGCAAGTTCAATGAAACTATTGATAAACGTATACTAAAAGAAACTTATGCAATAAAACAGAAACCTCCATTTTATTATTATTATTATTATTATTATTTTACAAAAGTGATATTCTAAATTATTCTATAATATACAAAAAAAGGATTCAAACTCAGATGCAAAACGTGAGCACATTGTCCTAACCCACTTGCAAACTACCTTTGTATTTACGAACAATATATATATATATATATATATATATAGTTTTTAGATATTTTAGTTTTTAGATATTTTAAAAGTGAAAAATAATAATAGTAACTAACTGACAAAAACAAAAGCAAGCTTCAATCGGGCCATAGAACCTACGTAACGGTTTTTAGGTTACGCCTTCAAGCTTTGGGCCTATTTTTACATACCTATTTGTGAAATAAAAATTATATTAATTCAAATTCTTCTGTGATATAAACCAATAAGTCATAAATGGTTCATGCGAGATAAGGGAATTGTAACTTTGGGTGCTGGGGTTTGAATTTTTTTGATCTTAGAGCACTTTCATTTGCCAGGGCAAATGATGAGGATAAGTTAGACAATCTCCAACCATGTTGGGACTAAACTCAATTTTCACCATCCAAAATACAACTATTTATGTATTTTCAGGACTCAAAATTTTTTTTCCTCCAACCTTGCAGACTCATAATTTGAGTCCGCAACTTTATTAAATTGTTTAAGAATGAATAACCCCTAATTTTTTTTTTCTTAACATTATTTTTGTTTCAATACTCGTTATTTAATTTTCTAAACATTTTAACTTTAAAAAATTAAAATTCCAAAACATAATAGAATTTCACTTAAAAATAAAAGCAAGTACAACACCATAAGTATGCCCAGAATAATTCGAACCTTTAATTGAATCCATTGTCATAATTTTCTTCCATTTTTACTTTTACTTTTACTTCATTGGATTCCTTTATCCTCATTCAATAATGTTTTGAACTTTTGCCCACCTCCACTTGTGTTCTTCAATTATTTTCTGAACTCTTTCCCATCTCCTATTGTCTTGTTTCAATCATGTTCTGAACCATTGCTCAACTTTGTCCATCTCACCTTATTGGATTCCCTTATCTTTCCCTATCTTTTCCTATCTTCATTCAATTATTTTCTGAACCATTTCCCATCTTGTCTTGTTTCAATCACGTTCTGAACCATTGCTCATCTTTGTTCATCTCACTTTATTGGATTCCCTTATCTTTCCTTATCTTTTCCTATCTTCATTCAATTATTTTCAAACATGTAGGTCATCTCATTCTCTTGTCTATTTAAGAAGTGTTATTCTACTGAATTGACCACACAATCTCCTTCAATTTTCCTTCTTACAATGAATTCACGTGGGAAGGCTATACAAAATTTCTTCAATGATGATTCTGATGATGATGACCTTCATCAACAGAGGGTTGCAATGGCTGTTCAACACTATACGTTTGTGTTGGATTAATATGCTTAACAATCCAAACATAGTGGTTCTGTTACAGGCTGTGAATACAAGAATCGGAAGAGAGAAAAACATCATAAGAGAGTCTCATGGAGGACTACTTCTGTGAAAGACCACTTTATCCTCCAGTGGACTTTCGCAGGCGGTTTCGCATGAGAAGAGAGCTTTTCTATCGCATCTTGAATGATGTTTTTGCACATGAGCCATACTTTACTAAGAAGATAGACGTTTGTGGACGACAAAGTCTATCCCCAAAGTAGAAGCTAACAGCCGTTTTTCGAATGCTCGCATATGGATGCTCAGCAGACTCCACCAACGAGTACAGTAGATTGGGTGAATCTATAGCCCTTGAATGTTTGCGAAAGTTTTTTTTTGTAATTGAAGCCGTGTATGGTCAATGTACCTTCGTTCCCAAAATCTGAATGACCTTTACAGGCTCTTGCACAAGGCTAGTCGCAGAGGATTCCCAGGCATGTTAGACAGTCTTGACTGCATGCATTGGGAATGGAAGAACTGCCCCACTGCTTGGGCAGGCCAGTTTATCGACTACAAGCATAAGCCAACTGTGGTTCTAGAAGCAGTGGCCTCGTATGACATTTGGATATGGCATGCCTTTTTTGGCATTGCCAGATCGAACAACGATATCAACGTTCTAGCTCGTTCCCCGTTGTTCAATGATGTAATGAATGAAGTGTCTCCTCATATCCAATATGTTGTCATTGGAAATGAATATAATCTGGGTTATTACTTGGCTGATGGTATCTACCCTCGTTGGGCTACATTGGTTAAGACGATTTCCCAACCGGATACTCCAAAAAAAAAGACTATTTGCCCAAAAACAAGAGGCTTATAGGAAGGATGTCGAGAGCCTTAGGAATACTTCAAGCTCAATGGGCAATTATTAGGGGACCTGCACGTATGTAGCGCAAAGAACAACTTCATTCAATCATGATGACGTGCATAATATTGCACAACATGATTATTGAGGATGAGTATGAGGATCTAGATGCAGAATCTGATGATGAAGACAATTGTCCACGAACATCTAAAAGAGCAAGAGCAAGACTTGCTTATGAGCTTGAGCCAACTATCACGTACGATATAAACCGAGACAGACAAACTATCTCAGACTACATGCTTCGTCATAATAGAGTTCATGCTTCACAAGTGCATCACAATCTAAGAAATGATTTGATCAACCATATTTGGAGATGCGAAGGAGAGGGGCAATGAGCTATGTTGTGTGTTTAAATTATGTAAGCGTGTTTAAATTATGTTGTGTGTTTAAATTATGAAAGTGTGTTTAAATTATAAAAGTGGTTGTGTGATTTTAATGAATTATATGGTTTATCATTGAATTTTAAAAAAAACTAATCATAGAAAAATAAACGACAATCATAAAAAAAAGATAAACGATAATTATAAATAAAGATAAACAACAATTACAAATAAAGATAAACAATAATTAAAAATAAAGCTAAACAACAATTACAAATAAAGATAAACGTGTTGTAAATGCATGAGTTAGTGGATGACCACCATACCTTTTAGCATTCATCCTTTTTAATTCTATGTAACCTATGCACTAAATACCATAGTTATGGGCTTGTAACTTATGAGTTGTTAATGTTTTCTTACCATTGTAAGCCTATAAATAAAAGGTCTTATCAAGATGAGATATACAAGTTGATTGAACAATTTCTATTGTCTTTCTCTACTTTCCAATTCTCCACCATTTTTCCCTTAGTTATATAACACATTATCAGCACGACATTGCTCTTGGTATGTTTTCTTTCTTTGAATTTTCTTTCTTCTTATATGAGCTAGAGTTATCACATGGTATAGAGTTTCTTTGTACTCACCATCAGACTTCATCATGCTCGTTTAAGGAAAAAAATTCTTATTCTTATTACACATGGATATAATGCCATGTTTTTTTTATTTGTTTGTTTATTTAATTTTAAGTATGATCTTAATTATTATGATGAGTTTGTATTATACAAAAGATCAGGGCCTAAAGTTCCTCGATCCTCATCATATAACTAGATTAGGACATAAAGTTCTTTTGATTGAATCAGAACCTGAAGTTCTTTGATTCCAAATAATTGAGGGCGTGAAGTTCCGCGAATTTAAAGAGAACATAAGGACATAAAACTCCTCGATTTTGTATTAATCAAAATCAAAATTCCATGAGGCCTACATATGTCAAGAACCTGAACCAGAAGTTTCGAGTGCATATACATGGATTTGAGTATGAAGTTCAAAGCACAACTATTAATTCAATTTATTTAGATCTACATATTCGAACTTGACGTTTCGAATATATATTGATATGAACCTGAAGTTCATTATTTATTTGTGCCTATATGAACCTGAATTGGTTGGAAACCCAATTCTTAAACTTATAGTTTTATCTACATATTGAATCCACATTAATATTGGATTATCTTGGAATTTCATAGTCTTTAATTAATTTATTTTATTCCTCGTTTATACCACTTTACTCATTTTATTTTATTTATGTTGGGTTATTAGTTAATTTCGTTTTACAATGGTAATGTTTGTATAACCCCCCAAATATTGACAGCCAGATGCGTCTATTGGAGAAACTTCATACTTTCTTTTGTGAGTAGGAAGTTTATTATGTTATGAACCAAAAGTTCATGAGGCCCCAATATTACACAACTATAAAAGTAGTTGAAGTTTATGATGTCATGAACCAAAAGTTCATGAGGCCCCAATATTACACAACTATTAAAGTAGTTGAAGATTATGATATCATGAACTAGAAGTTCATTGACCGGATAACTTTTATGTTGTGGCATGACTATCTTGGCAATCCATGTTCCACAATGATACATAAGAATTTTATAAATTTGTAAGGACATCGTTTAAAGACTCAAAATACTGTCTTGTCCAACAAATATCATTACAAAGAATGCTCACAAATAAAAGCTGTCATACAATCATCTCAGTCAAAAATTGACTTTGAGCCCTCTTTCCTGAAATAATTCAAAGGGATATTTGTGAGCCTATACAACATTTAATTATGGATCACTTCACCAGTTTTATTGAATGTGCCTACTAAAACGGTCACATATTTGTCTTTTGTCAATACGCTTACAAGCATAACTCCCATATTATCCAATCCAATCAATTTGAATTGATAATGATGGTGAGTTTATTCTCCTACATTTTGTGACAATTTTCCCGCCGTTAGGGGGAGAAATGACAGTTCCTGAAGAACGTCGTGAAATAGTGTTGAATCGGTCCGCTTTTGTCTCATCAAGATAATGCATATATAAAGTTATGAATATGCAAGCATGGATTGATATTCATGTATCACAATCCATTAACATGACAATAAGTGACTATGAGCATGACAAAAATATAGGTTCTAAAAACTTAACTCCCTAGAAGTGGAGATTATTTGAAAAATTCAAGCCCTATAAAAAATAACGCTCTATATGAGGTTATGATCCACATATTCTAATTAATTCATTGTAAAAGAGATGTTTGTCCCATAAGTGACAACATCAGCCCCTGAAGAGGCATTGGTACCCCAAAGCAATGAGATGCTTATAAATTATGCATGCGCATGCACATGAGAATTGCGGGATCACAAATTGATGATACATTTGGTTTATTAGTAGCTACTACAATCATCAAGGGCTATGATTATATTAAATCACGTTTCATGAATGTCGACAAGTTAAGTGATTGCCCAAAAATGGAAATAGACAATTCCATTTATCACTAAATATGAAGGGTTGGATATTAAACCTATAACTCAAACACCGAATTACAAATGTTAAGTATGAAGGTTACAAATTGGTGTTTGTGAAGTGAAATAAGATCACTAATATGACATAAGGTTTCTTGGGAGAGACATGATTTTAGTCTCCCGTCTCATCGTAGATGCATCCACATTTCTATAAGTGCAGTTGTTATTTTAACGCGAAACTTATAGCATGTGTAAAATGCATATTTATTAAGACTATATGGTACATGGAAATCCGCAAAGCTCATGAAATATTTTAGATATATCGAATGAAGTGACCCCTTGAAGGATATAAAGTACCACAATATTCTTAATTAAGAGTTAACACTAAGAGTTTGAGTATTTTGAATTCAAATTTGATATTGTTGTAACATATTCTAACTACTAAATTAGTTGTTGATGCTCCTAAAGATTTCAATCATTTGAAAAGTGAAAAGCAGGTCGAATAGTGTGATAGACGATCATGTATGAAGATAATGTTGCTTGTATTGCTCAAATCAGAGAAGGGGAGATATTAATCAGTGGGAGAAGATATCAATCAGGGAGAGCATCCCAATTCTACTACATACAGGACAAATGCATGTTGTACTCTTTTTCTCTTCGACTAGGTTTTTATCCCATTTGGTTTTTTCTAGCAAGGTTTTAATGAGGCAACGTAAGCGCATCCAACACCATATCAATGATCCAAAAGAAAGTTTCACTCTTTTTTCCCTTCGCTTCGGTTTTGTCCCACTGGGTTTTCCAAGCAAGGTTTTTAATGAGGGAACTATTTCATTGTATGGTGGACATCCAAGAGGGAGTGTTGTAAATGCATGAGTTGGTGGATGACCACCATACCTCTTAGCATTCATCATTTCTAATTCTATGTAACCTATGCACTAAATACCATAGTTATGGGCTTGTAACTTATGATTTGTTAATGTTTTCCTACCATTGTAAGCCTATAAATAAAAGGTCTTATCAAGATGAGATATACAAGTTGATTGAACAATTTCTATTGTCTTTCTCTACTTTCCAATTCTCCACCATTTTTCCCTTAGTTATATAACAAAACGACAATTATAAATAAAGATAAACAACAATTACAAATAAACGTAAATTAATAACCACTATATGGAGGGCTTGGATAATAGTCTCCAAAGTTGTCTTCTATATTGTAGGGGAAACTTGTATTCATCTGAGCCTCAATAATTTCGTCTTGCTTGTTCCCCCAATACTTCTTCTTTCTTGGAGTAAATTTGGATAGGTCCATGGACATTATCCTTTGTTCATTGGCCTCCTTATCTTGTTGGATTTGATATGAAGGTTGCTCTTGTAGGAGCTCTAACTTTCGCTGACTATCCTCTTTTGCCTCATTTCCTTGTTGAACCAATTCAGACAAGAACTTACCACTTTGGTTGAGATAACTTTCAACACCTTTCCCTTTCTTTTTTTCATCATTCTGTTTATCTCTTCCCAATGGCCTTGGAGTGGGCATGACCACATCATCTTCATCTTCCTCCAAATTGACTATATTGCCATTATGAGAAGAATCTTTGAATGATTGTGTGGGAGATTCACATAGGTCGTTCCATTTTGGGCAATCTTTTAAGATTTGCCAAGCATGATACAACTTGAAATGCCTATTTGGAGGTTTATTATCATTCAAGAAAATTGTTTTTGCATTTATATCCTACCCATGAAATAAAATAAAAATCAAGTTAATAATTGAAAATAATTAAAATTATAAATTTAAGCATTGAAAAAAATGGGTACTCACCACATCTTCAAGATTGGAGCCACTCACATGTCTTGCATTGGCCTTTGTTATACATGCCTTCCAAAGAGAACATTGTTGGTTGATGATCTTGAACCAAGAAGCAATAGCTTGCGGTGACTGTACCCCGGCTCCGCTCTTGCCCGGATCATTTTCCAAAAAATTTTGGTACACACGCAACCAAAATGAATCATTTGATTGATTCGTGCCAATAGCCTCATCTTCAGAGACAGAAACCCACCCTATACACAATGCCTCATCTTCTTCTGGTTTCCAATTCTCACCTCTTTATTGTTTTGGGGCCATTCTCAACAAGAATGAATGTAGAATGAAAAATTATAATAAAGGAAGAAAGGAAAACAAAGGGAGAAAGGAAAAAAAATAATTTTTGGTGGATTATTTACTAAATGAATGACTATTTATAGAGTTTGGAATAATTTTGGGGTTGGATCTGACTTAGATTAATTATAAATATTAATTTGAATGTTGGATTTAAATTTGAGCCGTTGGATGTGAAATTTTACCGTTGAGATTGCCTAAAATGAATCAGAATCGTTGATTTTATAGCTGCTGGAATATATATATTTTTATTTTATAAAAAAAAACAGCATAACAAAACATTTGAAAAAGTAGCCGTTGCTTCTCAAAAACGGAAAGGGAATCTTCATTCCCACTTGTCAAAGTGGGCCAGCAACATAGCCAAGCACATGAGCTGCTTCTTGCATCCAATAAAAAATTATATATTAAAGCATATTTGGGCCCCATGAGTTTATCAGTCCAGGCAGAATTCTAACTGGAATTCCAGTTCAGTTTTGAGTTATCTCAAATTTTCACCTCCCAAAATACATGAGTTGGAGAAGTTTTTTGGAGGCTAAACTCAAAATTTGAGTTTCTACCCATTAGGTTGGAGATGGTCTAAGGACGATTACTGTTCACATTAACAGTGTTTGCCCTAGTAAATTTTGTTGTTGCTTTTCCCCCTAATTCCATGACAATCCAAGAGCAATTACTATTCACGTGGGATTAATAAATAAAAAATTGCTAGGTATATATATATATATATATATATATATATAAACTCTGAATTTGTTGGTTTTTTTTTCTTAGAATTTTTCTTGATATTTTTCTTCGCTAGCGTTAGCACCTCAGGCAATAGCTCAAGTTGTTCTTGCCTTCAGGCTTGCCAGTTTTAGTGGAGCCCACCTCGTGCTCGGGTTGCAATTCATTGGTAGAGTGACTTTTGCCAGCCCAGGAGGTCTTTTGCCTTCGCAATTTGTACTACTAGAACTGCTCTTACCCATGTGGTTTATCTTTATTACACATTTTGTCGAATATTGTATTTTCGTCTATTTGTATAATTTGAGTGACTTGTAACACGTGCAACAAATTGCAACACATTAAAAAGGCTCAACATATGAATATACGTACTCCATATTATGTTAAAATTACAACATCCAATCCAAAATTAATTGACCATCAGTAAAAAGGCTCATGAATATATGTTGTGTAAGGCTTAGAATTCTAAGACCTCAACAACAGTAGCCCATCTGATCAATAAAGAGACACAGTAGCGCAAATAGACCTTAACAACCCAAATAAACAATAAATAACAAGATTTTTGGTTCACGAAACTTCTTTCCATGAATACAAACAAAACAAATCATTGTCATCTTCCTTCACAATTTGGTATTATGACGAAACAGTTACCCTCCTCCAGGTTATATTGCATGCCCATGCTTTTCGAAAGAGAAAATATACTTGTTTTTCTGACGATAAAGTATTTTTATGTTAATCATTTTTTAATATGATTAGATTTTATCTCTTGATATCACTCTCCTAATTGGACTCTATTTTAATTTAAGTTGAAATATTATCTTTTCCTGTTATGACTTGCATGTTGAAATCAGCTCATACTTGATTGTTCTAATTAATTTGTACGGGTATTGTTTTAAAAGATTGGCTGTAGTGAAAGTTATTTGGTGTTCTAACATCTTGCATTAATTTGAGTCATCACATAGCATCTAAATTTATTCAAAACTGATATTCATGTTTGAATAGTATTGTGGTATTTTGTTTTGGCGTCTTGGTCAAGAGACCATATTGGATTAGGTTTGAGTGTCATAGTTGAAGAGAAATAGTGGTCACTTGGGTTTATCTCTTTTAAGAGAAAACATGCCTTGAATAAAACGTGGTGTTTTGCTTTTCAATCACAATTTTCAACATATTGGTTTTGAGCATATTGAATTTTTAAGAGAAAGTTGTTGTGCATATTTTTCAGATAAGTCATCAAGTGTTCCTTGTTTACTTGGTGATTTATCAAATCCTTTCATCATGAATATTATATTCATATGCATGTTGGTGACTCTTACGGTTAAGGGCACCAAGACCGTGGTGGCGGTTTTCCTCTAGCGAGCTTGAAGCAATCGTGATCAGTATTGCGTTCAACATAAGGAGTGTCGAAGATCATCCCGTGACAGAAGTTGAGTTACGAAGAAGTTGGTAAACATTATCTAGAATGTGTCTAGGATAAGTGTGTGAGTACTTCTTGTAATCATCGTTCTATAGTGGATTTGTGTTGGACTGAGGAGTTTCGTGGATTTTCCCTAGATGTGGGGTTTTAATACGTAAAATAATTCTCTGCGTGTTCCTTTATTTTATGCTTAGCACGTTTCAGGATGGATAAACCATATCAATTCTGCTACCGAAATTTATTTTTTGTTTACTATTTATAATAACCTCATATTTGAATTCAAACTCATGATATTGTTTGTACATTTCGTAGTTTAAAGTTTGTTGTATTTGTATTTTAAATTTTGATATAAGGATTGCCTTATCAAGAAGGAGTTCTATCTTATCTATGTAACAAGCTCTTGTAATTTGTTTATAAATACAACTCTCCATCACATTGATGGATCATTCAGCCAAACCTGCTTTCTTGAGTATACATAAATCTTACATGGTATCAGAGCCACCTGTCGTACGACACAACTTTAGTATTTTTTTTCTCTCCCAAATTTTTCCTTCCCATAGCTAATGCTAATGATGCCTCTGCTACCCCAACCACCACTTCACCTATCCATTCTTCCATGAACACCCTCACTCCTGCCATGGTTGTTGCTGTCTCCATTAAGTTGGATCGAACCAACTATTCTCTTTGGCTGGCACAATTTCTACCCATTCTCAAAAGCCGAGATCTTATGGGCTTTGTGGATGGCTCTCATGAATGTCCTCCAAAACATCTCTCTGGTAGTACAATAGTCAATCCCGCCTACACAACATGGATCAACAACTCCTTATCCAAATCAGTGCTCTCCATAGTTTCACGTAATCAGACTGCTCGTTCCACTTGGCTGGCTCTCGAACGTCGATATGCCTCGACATCACAAAACCGGATTTTGCATTTGCGCAATGAGCTGATGCGGACCATGAAAGGAGACTTGTCTGTCTCGGCTTATCTTGACAAGATGAATATGATTGTTGACAACCTTGCACTTGCTGGACAACATGTTCTTGATGATGAACTTGTGCAGATTATCATGAATAATCTTGGCCTTGCGTATGAAATGGTGGTGAGTGCTGCTTAAGCCTGTGATACCCCCATTACATATCCCACACTTGAGTCTCTTCTGCTGACTACTGAAAGGAGAATGAATGATCATGTTTCTTCTCTCACTGAGTCTGCTCCTATTGTAGCTGCCTTTACTGCTAACCGAGGACGTGGTGGTGTTCCGTCTAATCGTGGAATTGTTCCAAATTCACGAGGTGGTACTGCTCGTGGATCCTTTACCAACCAGCGAAGCTATCAACAAGTTGGTGAAGCATCGTCCTCTATGAACACACGATTAGTGTGTCAAATCTGTGGCAAGCAGGGTCATCCGGCGTTGGACTATTATCAAAGAATGAACCTTGCGTATGAAGGTCGAATTCCAGCAAAACGTCTTACTACCATGGCCACCTCTCCTACTACCATGACTCGATAGAACAATGGCACATGCCTTCTTGACACAGGTGCAAATGCTCATGTTACTCCTAAACTTCAGAATCTAGTCAACCCCAAGGAATATACTAGTAATGACAATGTTGGAGGTGTAGGTAATGATTCCGAACTATCCATTTCTCATTTTGGATCAAGCACTATTAACACTGATTCTTGTTCCTTTCACCTAAATGATGTCTTACATTGTCCCTCTGATTCAACCAATTTAATTTTTGTCCATCATTTCACTTCCGACGACAATTGCTACATCCTAATTTTTCCTGATTCTTTTTTTGTTAAGGACCTTAAGACACGGAAGACGCTTTTCCAAGGGAGATGTGATAATAGATTGTATCTATTTCATTCTGGTGGTGGATTTTCCAATCAACATTTTCAAGCTTTTGTAGGAGCACGTGTTACAATTCAAAAATGGCACTCTCGTCTTGGCCATCCAACTAGTCCAATAATGAAGAATCTGGTTTCTAATAAAAAAGTGCCGATTACGGGCACTTCTAACGTGGGATTTTGTTCTTCCTGTCCTTTAGGTAAAAGCAAAAAATTACTTTTTTCAAAATCAGATTATGTTTCTTCTTCTCCACTGGAGCTTGTACACTCCAATGTTTGGAGTTCACCTATTGTTTCAGTTAATGGTTATCGATATTATTTGCTCTTTGTTGATGATTTTTCCCGCTACACATGGATATTCCTTATGAAATACAAATTCGAGGTTTATGATGTGTTTGTTAAATTTAAGAAACAAGTTGAGAATATGTTAAATGTTTCGATCAAAACTTTTCAATGTGATGAAGGAGATGAATATACCAAACTTGAGTTTCAAAATTATTTAGCAAATCAAGGTATCCATCAACATTTTTCATGCCCTAAATATCCTGAACAAAATGGATTAGCTGAATGAAAACATCGCCATCTTGTTGAAACTACCATTGTCATGCTTTCTCATGCTCATATCCCTTCCTCTTATTGGTTTGAAGTGTGTCAAACAACTTAACTCATAAACAGGTTACCTATAAAAGTCCTTCACAATCTGTCACCATTCGAAAAGTTGTTTCACAAACCTCCTACTTATCATATGCTTAAGATTTTTTGGTGTAGATGTTTTCCTTAGCTTACTCCGTATACAAAACATAAATTACAACAAAAATCAAAAGCGTGTGTTTTTCTAGTATATTCTTTAAACCATCAAGGATATAAATGTTTGGATTTATCCACGAGACGGATTTACTTGTCTCGTCATGTCCTATTCAATGAGGACACTTTTCCTTTTCATGATCTCACATCTTCTGAGGGGGGGTGTCTCCACCACAGGTATATAGTCTTATCCTAATGTCTTGTTTACCTTCCCTGAGTTGACTAATTCAATTGGTTCTTTGCCTAGTAATAATCTTCCAGCCCAATCTGTTATTTCTCCTAATAATGACCTTGTTGTCATGCCTCACGATCCATCTCCTCCACATCATATGCCTATCTTGCCTTCAACAAAACAAGAATCAATGCAACACAATGATCATGCACCGGATGAACCTGATATATCCTTCAAGGTTGTCCAATGTTCCCACGCATCCTATGGTGACTCGTTTGGCGTGAGAAATAACTAACGCACAAATTAAACCCTATAAATCATGCAATCGTAGTACGAGTAAGTAGGGATCGTTCTATTCCGGGGATTAGGAGAGATGCTAATCAACACAAATTAAACTTATTAAACTAGAAACTAAGTTAAGGGAACAATGATTGGGGGGAATTCTGACGATTTAGACTAAAGTAAGACTGACAGCAACAAACAACTAAGTTGTGAATGAAATATGGATTAAGGGATAGCTGGAGGATTCTTCTCCACACATGGAACATATGTACACAAATCGATCTCCAGTTACTCTTGCTATAAAGTATGAATGACAAAGCCCCAAATTAATTGTGAATGCACTAATTAACTTTCAGATTTTCCTAAGTTCATTGAATTGGACTCAGCGACGCAATCAAATTATCCTTATCAAGTTCCCTATATGAACAGCATGATAGAGATACATATCAAAGATCATTAAGTTCTATGAAAATCATAAGCCTTGACAAGGCATTTGTAACTATGAAAAGCATGATACTCCTGCCAGGAATTTACTTAACGCAATCATGACTAGTGACTTTTACTACTTGTGAATATAAGTTCATAACGATTAGGTGAAATTCCCTTATATTCTAGCATCAAATCCCTGCATGAAAACTAAGTATGCATCCTTAATAAACATACAAGAATAAGTTCTCAATAAAACAGAAAAGTAAATCACATGCATACTTTACGAAACCATAACTGGGAGTAATCAATTCATATAAAACATATGTCCATGGCTTCGAATTCACCTCTAACTAAGAAGAAATTTAGTCACACATGTTCATAATAATTGAAAAGCAATCTAGAATAAACATTTGAACTAATCAAGGGAAGAACTCTGAAAAACCCAATGGATGCAGCAGGTTCTGGCTCCAAGTTCTTCTTCTCCCTTTCTCCTTTCTTGCTACGGCACCAAAAAACTCCCTTCTCCTGCGGCAACCCCTCCTTTATATATGTGGTAGATCTAGGGTAAAAGGGCCCAGCAAAAACCCACGAAATTAGGGTTTTGTTTGGCAGATTTCTTTAGGGATAATAGGGCCCAATAGAAACCCACGAAATTAGGGTTTTTAGGTTTCCTAATCTGAAATTAATCCCCCCCTTTTCCAGCTGGAATTTAGGTCGAATAAGATTAGGATAAGGTAAAATAAAATAAAATCAGTTAGGGTTTTTTACTTCCCAAAAGCTGATTCTTGAATTAATTTCCCCATCTTTTTAGCACATTCCTAGCCTCTTCGAACTTCAAAAACGTCCATCCATCTTGGCCCATGCATATGCTATCCATTCCAAGTCCAAAACTGCTCTAAAATGCTCCAAAATGCCCTTTCTTGCCAATCTTGCCATCTGGACCTACAATAGTACGAAAATAAGCTAAATCACTCTAATAAATGGGAATTAACTAAGTAAATGCAAAGAAATAAGATAGCAAAGTCGCATAAATATGCTCCACATCATATGCCTATCTTGCCTTCAACAAAATAAGAATCAATGCAACACAATGATCATGCACCAGATGAACCTGATATATCCTCCAAGGTTGTCCAATGTTCCCACGCATCCTATATAGTGACTCGGTCACGGTTAGGAGTTCCAAAACCCAATCCTAAATATGCGTTGAATTTTATTGTTGATACTAAATTACTGGAACCCACTTGTTTTAGCCAGGCTATGAAGCAAGAAGAGTGGAGACAAGCAATGGCACATGAATTCAATGCCTTATAGCGCAGTGGCACATGGCAACTAGTTCCGTTTTGGTACAATATGAACCTGCTACCAAATAAATGGGTTTTTTAAAATTAAAAGGAGAGTAGATGAGTCCATAGAACGCTATAAAGCAAGACTTGTCGCCAATGGTTTTCATCAGAAGCAATGTGTCAACTATAGTGAGACATTCAGTCCAGTGGTCAAGCATAACACTATCCGCTTGGTTCTTAGTCTTGTAGTCACTAATAAATGGCCAATTAGACAACTTGATGTGCAAAATGCATTTTTGCATGGTTATTTAGGTGAGGAGGTTTACATGAAACAACCGGCTGGGTTTGTTGATCCACAATTTCCTAATCATGTCTGTTGATTGCAAAGAAGTCTGTATGGTTTGAAGCAAGCACCACGGGCTCGGTTTGATAAGTTCTCTGATTATCTCTTACAACTTGACTTTCAAGAGTCTAAGTGTGATTATTCACTTTTTGTCTACAACCAGCAGGGTGTCTACTTAATCTTACTTATTTACGTTGATGATATTTTGCTCATCGGCAATGATCCAGTCCAAGTTTCTCATCTCATTCGTCGTTTGAGTACTCTTTTCTCTATGAAAGATTTGGGCAAACTTCACTATTTTTTGAGCATTGAAGTTACCTATGCTGGTGACTCTATGCATCTCACACAATCCAAGTACGCTATTGATCTTCTTCAACGTACTAAGTTTTTGGATGCAAAGCCAATTTCTATACCAGTTTCCAGTGGGCAAAAATTGAGTGCTTATGTTGGTGAACCGCATACTAAGCCTGAGACCTATAGAAGCATTGTGGGCGCTTTGTAGTATCTAACAATCACACGCCCAAATTTATCTCATGTTGTAAACCAAGTTTGCCATTTTATGCATTTTCTGAAGACTCCCTATTGGCCAGCAATCAAGCCCATCCTGAATTATCTTAAATCCTCTTATGATTGTGGTATTGTTTACAAGACAGGCAGTTTTCAAGTTAGTGCTTTCTCGGATGCAGACTATGCTGGTGATCCGGATTCTCAACACTCAACTAGTGGATATTGTGTTTATGTTGGTATCAATTTGGTGTCATGGAGCTCTAAAAAGCATAAAACAGTATCCCGGGTCAAGCATAGAAGCTGAGTACCGCCAACTAGCGTATACTGTAGCTGAATTGTCATGGCTTCGCTCATTGTTTCGTGATTTGCAGCTGCCTTTATCCAGACCCATTATTTGGTGTGATAATATCTCCTCGATTGCTCTTGCTTCTAATCCCGTGTTTCACTCTCTCACCAAACATCTTGAGGTGGACTATCATTATGTTAGGGAAAAGGTCATTCGAGGTGAGCTTGCTGTTAATTTCATTTGTTCTCTAGACCAGTTGGCTGATTTGTTTACCAAAGGCTTATCCTCTGCTCGTTTCAAATTGTTGGTGTCCAAGCTTCCAGTTGTGTCTCGTGCTGTCAGCTTGCGGGGAGATGTTAGACAGAGGCTATCCTCATATTTGAACTCAAACTCATTATATTGTTTGTATGTTTTCACAGTTTGAAAGTTTGTTGTATTTGTATTTTAAATTATGATACAAGGATTGCCTTATCAAGAAGGAGTCCTATCTTATCTATGTAACCAACTCTTGTAATTTGTTTATAAATACAACTCTCCATCACACTGATGGATCATTCAGCCAAACCTGCTTTCTTGAGTAAACATAAATCTTACACTCCCTCCCCTCTTTAGGCATTCTTAGTCATCCTATAGGTAATTTCAATGTCATTTGATTGTAATTTAGAGCAATATGCCAAATTTAGCAACTCTTTCTATGGGCCTAAAGTTCAAAGCAAGCAAGCAGGAAAGTTGCTAATGTATAACCGAATTTAATTAACATTGGTCGAGCACTACTTCATGCACTGCCGAAAAATGGAAAAATATATGAAATTAAATCACCACTGAAACGAGTAAAACTCTTGTAACAGTTTCAGAATAGGTGAGGAAAACCCACCTATACTCCCAAGTGAATTACGTATTGTCATTTTTATTTAATTTTTTCACGAAACAATATTTGATTGATTTGAAATACCTTTATAATGACATTTCTGCTACGTGAAAGTTGTACTTTCTTGAGATTATGAATATGCTAATCTAAATGTCTATATCATGCACGTCGCCATTGACCAAAAAGAGAAAACTGATGCTCTCCATACCACAGCATGATGCATGATATTGTAAGTCCAAACACGTGCAACATCTAATATGAGTTGATTCCTTGCTTGCCCAAACAAACAAAGTTGAATTTCCTCTTGTTTAAGACTGGGCATGGCATGGTTGTTCAACATTTTTAAAATTTATGAATTGCTAGTAGATAATACATACTTCACTCTATATTAAGAAGAATGTTAAGGATTAGAGCGTGGGTAGGCGATTGTCAACAGTAAATTTATGTAGATCCCACGACAAGAAGGTCTTGGGTAGGGTTACTATAGGAGGTAAGAAACTCATAAGGGGTGAGCTTGAGTGACGTCAAATGCAAGGGTCACACCTCTTGTGAGGATGTTGCCCTAGGCAGCAACCCTACCCATGATTTTCTCATTGCGTACACACACTGATTGATGTATTACAATCGCTCATGCGAGCGTGAATAAATATTAATTCGTGACATAACTCATTATGTATGTAATTCTGTTAACCCTACCAGAGCTTTCACATTAGTCTTCATTTCTACAGTTGATTAGTAGACTAATCTGACCTAATGGCAACTTGCATTCGTGTGCTTAATATTATATTGGTTTATTATATCTTTGAGTTTGACACGCTTAATAATCGTCAATAACCCATATGCATGTACAATTCAAAGATTCATTGTTTATTAAACCCTTTGTATCTGGATAATGATTAGAGGCCAGTCAATAGATGATGAATCAAATCTCTTATATAACGAGGGGTAGAGATTGTCTTTTGTTAGAATACGATTTGTACGACTGAAACAGGTCTTTGTTACCACTTAGTTTCTCAATATAATTTTGACATGTTATGCATCTAATTATATGTATTAATAATCTGGTTTTGGATAATTATTTTACATGAGAAATTATAGAATACTACAGTAGTATGGTCATATGGTACATCTTGTACATGTGTTATAATATAAATTTTCCCCCTTTAAGGAAGTAGACATATACATCTTTATCCGGGTGATGGGTTTTTTTTTATTTTTTTATTTTTATATATTTATATTTGTCTTGGTCTTGGGAGTACCAGCAAATTCAACAATATGTTCCTCTAAGCTTGGATTAGAAACGAAGCCCGCCCTTTTCTAAAAGTAAAAGCCACCTTTCCAACTCAACACGACAACACGAATTTTCAATTGACGTGAAAGCAAGCGCTCTCTTCCATCACAAAAACAAACCAATTCCCTCACTCTCAATATAAATACACGACATATTTTTCATACAAGAACCACAACACAACACAAAGAACACTTCCAAACTCCCTCAAGAACACATTAATTCCCAAATGGGGTTTTTTTCTATCTCTTCCTCCAAGACAACCACCAAAAACAAAACTGCCAAAGACAAAACATTAACAGGAGCAGGCAATCTTATCAAGCTCCTCCCCACCGGCACCGTCTTCTTGTTCCAATTCCTCAACCCTGTCTTTACCAACAATGGCCACTGCTCCACCGTCAACAAATACCTAAGCGCCATTCTCATCGGCATTTCCGGTTTCTCTTGCTGTTTTGCTTGCTTCACTGATAGTTACACGGGCAGTGATGGACAAACCCACTATGGGGTTGTAACAGCTAAGGGTCTTTGGCCATCAACAAATTCCAACTCTGTGGACTTGTCTGCTTATAAACTTAGGCTTGGGGACTTTGTGCATGCCTTCTTTTCCTTGATTGTGTTTGCAGTTGTATCACTTTTGGACACCAACAGTGTCCGGTGCTTCTATCCAGGGTTTGAGTCCACTGAGAAGGTTTTGCTTCAGGTGTTGCCTCCTGTCATCGGTGCAATTGCCAGTACCGTTTTCGTTGTGTTCCCTAATAATCGCCATGGAATTGGATACCCCTCCTCAAGTTCTGATTCTTCAGAAGACTCGGAGAAATCCTGAAGGAATTGAAGTATCTACGCTTCTTGTTTAACAAGCCCTAAACAAGTACTAGTGTTTGCTCACGCAAGTTTATGCTTTTCTTTGTTTGTATAGTAGTTTGCCTAAGTTTGATTAATTTCTTCGGTATAACTTTGATTAATTTCTTCGGTATCAATCCCGTTGGAATATATGTAACAAGTTTCTATTGTTCGCTAAAATTTCCATTTATGAATTATAACTTGATCTCAATTCTCAAGTACTTAAATAGGAAAGGCACACAATGTTTTATGCCATTGGATAAATATTGGACGTTGAAATCAACAACAAAAACTTAGAATACATAGCTGCAAAGGTCCATAGGTTTTCACACTTTCCCCGATTAGTTTGAGGCTCAAAGGCTCACAGCCCCACACGTTTCTTATTGGTGCAGATTTTCATCTCCATGAAAAGTAATAAAAGTCCATTCAATATTGAATAAAATAAAATAAGGTCTAAATGTGGAAAATGAAATCCATGCCATACATACCCTTATATTTTGCGTCAAGCACAAACCAAAGCAGACTTCTAATAGTTGAGTTTACGTCTGTGGTCATCATACAAATTGCAACAAAGTCTAACAGTAACTCTAAACACATTCCTTCAAATTATGATACTTTGAACAAAATCCTTGCCACTAACAATACATTCTACAAGAAAATGAGTCTTCTGCATATTGCGGATCATACATAAAGGCAGAAACTGTTCCTTTTGTTTTGTTTGCAACAGTTGAGGAGTGTATACTAGCAATCCATACCATTTTCAGCGTAAATGATGCCAAAGGTATTATAATTTTACATCAGCAAACAATCCATCTAGAAGGTTAGAAGATGAATTCTCATTTCCACTCTCATCAAAGAAACCATTAGAAGCATGTTCTTTTCTACATTTTCGCTCTTCAATTACGGAATCTGCTGTTTCTGCACAAAAACTTCGTCTTGTCTGTTTTACAGGTTTCTCTGCCACAATAAACTTGTTCCCATCACGACTTCTTTCAGAGAAGCCAGCCCAGACTGAAAGACAACCATGGGTGGGGAATTTCATAAGTCGTGCACAAGAAGGATAATTAAAGTTTTCGCAAAATTACACCGACATGTGGTGAGAAGAGTTCAAAGAAAAGATTCTCTACTTTCGGTAGGGTGTTGGTTATCAGGAACTTAAAATCAATTTCTATTCAAGAGTGAAATAATCAATTTGGAAAGAAAGGAATCGTTGTCTTGTTCAATACTAAATCACTTTCTATTCGTTGTCTTGTTAAAGTAAAAACAATTTTGGTCATTCAGGAAAGTTAAGTAATCTTATTGACTGATACTCGTTCTAATTTTCTGCTTAGTTAAGACTTCAAACTAAAGGCCTACTAACTCCACTTTTCCCCTCACCAGGTGAAGTGACCCGATAAGACTCCAAGAATTTATATTGGGTGATGGAGAAAATTCATGATCATGAGGACCAGGGGAGAGAAGAAGGAAGGGCACACAAACAGCCTAAGATGGATTCTAGAATAAGGATAGATGATGTCTCGATTGAACATAAAAAATGAAACTTAGGATGATAAAATTTACACACCAACTAAATGGCAAGACAATAACCAAAATAAGTCATATCATCCAAACGTTGTTAATCTTTTTTGCTTATACAGTGAACCATCACATAAAAGAACATAAACCACGTGGCAGTAAAAGAAGAGAAGAACACAAAAGGCATGAGCTCATGTTTTATAGTTACCTCCAAACTGATGCAACACAATAGAAGCTGCCACCGTGACATTCAAGGAAGCGGTACCACCTCCATACTGTGGAATATACACAAAGAAGTCACATATCTCCAATTCTTTGGCAGAAAGGCCTGTTCCCTACAAACAACAAGCAGAAAAATATAAATGTATCACCTAATGGGGCTTATTTGCAAATGCCTAAAGATTGCAAACTGAAGTTTAACTTTAACTCAAAACTGAAAAACAAAACATCAGATTATCAAATTACAGTAGTAAATCCCTCTCACAAGCTACCAACACATACACATATCAAACAAGCCCACCAATCAAATACCCAAGAATCCATTATTGAAAAGTAAATTACTTTACCGTCAAATAAATTCTCATTGAATCAATAATTACAGAGCAAAGAACCCATATGGGCAATTGTGAAAAACGAAGATTACCTCATTGCCAAGAAGAAAAGCGGTGCTCTTGGTAAAAGGGTGGTGATTGACAGGCAGAGCATCATCAGTGATCTCAACGCCGCAAATATCACAATCTCTCTCCTAACCCACATACAGAAACGAAAACAGAGTAAGTCCCATAGCCAGAAAAAGAGAAAGGAAGACGAAATCAAAGAGAAAGAGAGGACCTTGAGAAAGAGACGAGCGTCTTGGAGGGAGTGGAAGTGGCGAAAGCGAAGGTGCGAGGTGGAGCCATGGCTGCCGAAGGCGTTGAACTCTCTGCGGCCGACCAGGATGAGCTCAGAGACGCCGAAGGCGGTGGCGCTTCGGGCGAGTGTACCGACGTTGTGCCTCTTGGCTATGTTGTGCACCACCACATAGCTTTCTACCGCCATTTCCCTCTTCCGCTGATTTCAGTTCTTCAGACTCTCTCAGTCGCCGCCAAGTCCTACGATAACAAAACGTCGAAACCAACTCAAAACGACCTCGTTTTGAAGAAAAGGGTTCCATTTTATTACTTTTGGTTTTTTGAGCAAAAGGTGCTAAGAAATAGGTCATTTTGTTTACTTTTTTCTTTTGAAATGGAAAATTATAATTTTGGTTATAATGTAGAATGTTTTTCTCGTAATAGAGAGAAGTGACATTGCACTCATATATTAGCTTTAGTGACAACTTTACTTGCTCTTTTTGATGTTTCAATAAAGAAATAGATCCAATGAAACAAACCCTCAAGGGTAGGGGAAGTATCCATGAGTTTTTCTTCCTTATACAAGAGATATTGGAGGCGGAGGGATTCGAATACGGCACCTCATGTACATGAATAATCGCTTTTAACTAATTGAGCTACAAGTCTTCTATATCCATCAGGGCTCGTTTGTTACACAGGACTGTCTTGACATGGATTATGCTTAGGGACTGTCTTAGCTTGGCTTGGCTTGGTCTAAGTTGAATAACACTTATAAAGCTTTTGGCGTATGCTTGGATTAGGACTAGATTTTTTTATTTTTTCAAAAATATCTATATATATATATGTATATATGTATTTTATAATATATATATGTATATATACATACATATAATATATATAACATATATGTGTATATACATGTATATATGTATATTATATATTATAAATAATACAAATATATATATATATGTGTGTGTGTATATAGGTGTATATATGTATATTATAATGTACATGGGTATAATACATATACATATATTTATATATTATGTATATTATAATATAATATATATGGGTATGTTATAATAATAATAATATACATGTATATATGTGTATATATTATATATTATAATATACATATATATACATGTGTATAATATATAAATGGGTATAATACATATGCATATATATAGATGTATATTATAATAGATACTATATATGGGTATGTTATAATAATAATATACATGTATATACATGTATATATGTATATTATAATATATAATGTATATGTGTATATACGTGTGTATATGTATATTATAATACATACATGGGTATAATATATATACACATATATGTATATATACGTATATATATATATATATACAATCCCCTTTTATTAAGGGATCCCTTAAATAATTTTATTTAAGGGACGTCCTTTAGGGTACCCTACAATTTTTTTTCCAATGATCCACACAATCTAATTTTTAGGTCTTCATTCATAGATCATCCTTACAAAAAATTAGACAAATTGGAAGCCGTTTCGATATCCAATTGTGTCCTATAAAATCAATGAACACGTTGCTTCATGAAAGTACTAAAATTTCAATAACTCAATTGAATGGTCAAATGATATCGGATTCGAGTGATTTTTTGTAGAGATAATATTTGAATGAGTATCTACAAAATAGACGGTTTGGATTAGTGAAATACAATCCGGTTTGAATGAGTATCCCACAATTGAGGGATCCCTCAAATAAGCTTTTTCGAGGGATACCCCTTGTAGGGCCTACTCCGGATTGTATTTCACTAATTCAAAACGTCTATTTTGTAGATACTCATTCAAATATCATCTCTACAAAAAATCACTCGAATCCGATATCATTTGACCATTCAATTGAGTTATTGAAATTTTAGTACTTTCTTGAAGCACCGTGTTCATTGATTTTGTATGATACAATTGAATGTCGAAACGGTTTCCAATTTGTCTAATTTTTTGTAAGGATGATCTATGAATGAAGACCTAAAAAAATATGTGGTTTGGATTATTGGAAAAAAAATTGTAGCGTACCCTAAAGGGCGTCCCTCAAATAAAATTATTTGAGGGATCCCTCAATAGAAGGGGACTGTGTATATATATATATATATATATATTACATATATACATGTATGCTATTGTTATAATATTAATATGTATGTGTATATGGGTATATTATAATAATAATATACGTGTATATATCTATATATTATATATGTATATATGTGTTTATATATATACATGTATATGTGTATATACGGATTTGTTAAGGAGCAAAGAGGTGTAGCTGCACCTCTCCTCACCAGAAAAACTATTGTTGATGCTTGAAATTGCCCATTTGCTCCTTAATTCCATCTTCAACATTTAAGTAAATGTCTTTGTCTTTTTACTTTCATTTATTTTTATATTACTCCATATACTTAAGTTTACAATGTAAATAAGGAAGTACCCCCCATTTGGATTCAAATAAAAATACTAAAAAATCAAATTCCCCCCAAATCAAAATTTAAAAAATCGGTTTTAGTGCAAAATACGATTTAGGCTAAAAATGATAGCTCATTAAGTTAATATATACTTCATAATAAAATCCCATAAAATCAAGTTTTCTTATTTGATGTGTAAGGAATAAAAGCCGCCAAAAATTATCTTGAGAAAATGATTATTCCGAAAAACCATTTTTCATACTTAGTCAATATTTTTACATAGAACAATTTTTCATATATGATATGAATGCATGAAGGGACCTAAGGTTAATCTAGGTAAAAACCCATAGATGTTCAATCCACAAAGAGTTTTTAACCTTTCAAAATTGCACTTCCGCTAAAATTTTTTTGGGTCCACCTACGTGTATATATGTACATTAATATATAATATAATATATATATTACATATATAAATGTATGCTATTATTACAATATTAATATGTATGTATGTATGGGTATATTATAATAATAATATATGTGTATATATCTATATGTATTTATATATATTATATATGTATATATGTGTTTATATATATATATACATGTATATATGTATATACGTGTATATATGTACATTATAGTATATGTGTATGTAGTAATAATAATACTAATAATAGTAATATATGTTATTAGTATTACAATATAATATATGCATCTTATACATTGGTGAACATAGGACTAGTTAATCCTCCTTTTCTACATGAGATTAGTAGTCCCCTCCTAAGGAGGTGTTTTTGGTGGGTCCGGTATTAGCAATCTCATCTAAGACTAGAATTAAATTAACAAACATGGTACTAAATTTAGTCCAAACCAGTCCAAGCCAAGCCTGTGTAAACGACCCCTCAAAGTTTAAGAAAATTGAATTGTTTGGATTACGTCCTGTGTTACTCTGTCTCTCTTCTATGGCAGAGTGTGTGAGAGTGCAATGTGGAGCTCCTAAAGACACTATGTAGTAACTATTGCTTATAGTAATTATGTATATATATGACCAATGCAAGAAGAGGAATGCAACTTGTGCAGGTGTACCAAGTCACAAGTTGTTCAATATAACAAACAACTTATGCCAAATATTGAAGCTTAAGAATTATTCACATTTGCCTACTTTATTTGTTCCCTGTCTTGGTTTCTATAATGATCATGGCTTTGTATGAATTACAAGTAAACCACATTTATTTACAATCGCAGTCACCAACCAGGCAATCTTTCTCAGACAGCAACTTGAGCTGCTGCTAGCCTAGCAATAGGTACCCTGCAAAAAGAACTTGGAATAAGGAATTTGATCTAGCCATAAAATTAGTCTAAGGAACTCAACTTACAGAAGACAAATGAAAGAAATGCAAACCTAAATGGAGAACACGAAACATAGTCTAGTCCCGCCTCTGCGAAAAATGCAACAGAAGAAGGCTCCCCACCATGCTCTCCACAAATTCCAACCTATTTGTTTATAATCACTATCCAAAAATGTCAGAAGAAGAATGGAATAACAAAAATCTTGTTAATATATGGCCATTATCCCTGTTAAGTTGACACTGCAATTTGTGATAAAATGCTTAATAGCTATGCATTGCCGGTTACCTTCAAGCTAGGCCTTGCAGCACGACCCTTTTCGGTGGCCATCTTGATGAGCTGCCCTACACCTCTTTGATCAAGTACCTGAAAGCAGTGCATTTGGACTGTTAGTGTCAAGAAATCAGTTTGAATTATTTTTCCTTCCCTTACAAGATTATTTACTCTGGTACTATCGGGGAAAGTGCTATCTGCAATGAAGCCTGTATGGACTCGCAGGAAATATGACTTACCTCAAATGGATCATTTTGAAGAAGGCCTTTGGACAGGTAAATGGGTAGAAACTTTCCCACATCATCTCTGCTGTATCCAAAGGTCATTTGTGTGAGATCGTTGGTCCCGAAGGAGAAGAACTCAGCTTCCTTCGCAATCTATGATGTTGATCAGCAGATTATGAACAATATGTTCTTCCTTTTACACTGTTAAGTATAAATTTTAAAGGACAATAAAAAAGAAACAATCAACTTAGCCTACCTCATCTGCAACCAGAGCAGCTCTAGGGATCTCAATCATAGTGCCAACTTTATAGCTCAAGGTAGTACCAATCTCAGAGAACACTTTGTTTGCAACACTTCGAATTAGGCTCACTTGATGCCGTAGTTCCTGCATGACATTGACGTGCAAAAATGTCAATGTTTTCATGAAGATGGAACTTTGCATGCTCATGAAAGGAGAAAGGGAGGAATAAGAATGCAGGATCATGCCTGAGGTGTTCCAACAAGGGGAACCATTATCTCAGGGAAAACTTTGACACCCTGGTTGCTCATTGAGACTGCAGCCTGAAAGATGGCACGAGCCTGCATTTCAGTGAGTTCTGGGTACGATATCCCTAGCCTGTTGACACACCAAAAGAACCTTTTTCATCAACAAAAAAATAGATGATCTTTCTACATGTCACAGTAAGATATCAAACTTCTACTATGGCCAATTGATTCAAAATGTTAGGCAACTAAGTTCATTATTATTTACATTCATCAAGTTGTTAAATTTAAGCAGGGGAAAGCTTGTTTAACGAATGAAATCAAACATCAAATGCTGAATAGACAAGAAATGATGCCTGTGTGTGAAGCTAATGAACCAAGTGACTGAAGTTAATCAGTTACAAAACTTTCTGAGAACAAAAATTTG